ATAATATTTTAAAATGTGTGCCTGAGGGATTTCTTGATCCGAGTCCAAAACAAAATACGAGGAATATTAATTATTTTAATAGGTTTAATTTCTGACTGTTTTTATCCTATCGGAAACCCGGGTGGTGATTAATATGCACCGCGTAAATTTAATTTAATTGCGGCTCATCGGTGCGAGAGGACGGCGAGGACCAAAGTCAAAAACATTTTTGGAAAATCGCAATATTCATAAATGGTTAGCTATGAAAAAAAAAATGAACATATATATGAATTTTTATATACATAAACATAATACATATATAACAATAATTTAAAAACTCTCTCAAACGTAGTAATAAAACTCAGAAAGAAGAGTACAGTGTAAATGTCTACGTTTTATTCTTTACACCCTTAAAATTAATTACACTCTTCATGCTCCTTTACAATTATTTAATAATTTAAAATATGTATCAATTATTAATTAACAAAACATCTCGCCAATAAGATCGATACCCTTATAATCACCTCTTTTCCGAATTCATTTTAGAGTCGCTATATAAAAGTGACATCTCGTCATTGTCTATGCCATATTCCTTTTTCCTCCCTGAAACTATTTATCATAGACGCGATTATTCTCGCTTAACTTAAGTTTCGATTTTAACTCGACAAATTAACCGTTAAAATAACTCGTGCATGCATTTGGGATTTGCCCTGCAGTATAAATTCCATTTACATTTTACCTACAACAAAATACTATAGATTTTTCGTTAGAATATCGAAACGTCGACGCCTAATATATACGTTTTAAATTGACTTCATTTTATTTCACCTCCTCGCTATTCGACTAAATAATATATTAATATAATAATACAGGCAAACAATTCGAAAAAATAATACAAACATTATTTTCTATTAAATATAATAATAATTGTAACGTTTTTCGTCTCGTGCATCCGGTAAAAGTAATAGTGTATAATAATATTCTAATATTGTTTTCGACGACAGCGGTTTCTCACGTGTTACACGCATACTATACTCGTTCTGTGTATAATATAGTATTATATTTTTATAGGAGGAGTGCACTTTAAATATAATAATAATACTGAAACAGTGTGTCCACGGACGAGTGGCCAACTGTTGTATACGTTATTTTCTGATATGTATTATATACCTGCCGTAAAACAATATAATATTTATAATGACAGACCTCGGAGAAAAAAAATGAACTCGTTCCGTTGAAAGTTCTAAATCTATGAACGAAACGTGAATTGAGATCATAAATATTTATTATTTTAATCAGCCTTTTTTTAAATTTAATTTGTATGTATATATTTATATTTTCAATGAACATGAAATTTAATGATTAGGTCATTTTAATTCAAATTCTAAACTTTACATTAATAATTTAAGGAATTGTTTCGTTATCGATCTAACGACCACGATTTAAATATTCTAAGTAGTTTTGCTATATTGCTCATTAGGGAATTCTACTGTATCGTCCTCATGTGTTTGTTATTTAAACATAGTTAGATCATTCATATATAAGCACAGATTAAGAAGGGTGGGGGAGAGGAGTATGGCTTCCGGGTTATAAGACTCCAAGGACCTCAGGTTTAATATAGTACGTTCTTTTTCTATGTATTTTGTCATTAACATTGCATTTTGATATTTATTATAAATTTTGACATAATACTTGTGACTTTTGAATTGAAATATATTACCTCCATTTTATTATTTATCGTTTTTCATTTGATAACTTCTTTTATCAATTTTGTACATTTTTTTTTTATTATTATTCTTTTTTATAACCTCATTTCAAAAAGTTTAACCCTGGGGTTTTTTAATACAGGATTATTCACTTAATAAGATATGAACTTTTAAACCAAGCATAATAGGTACCTACTTGGTTTCTATAAAAAAAAAAATAATGAATTAGTTCACGCTCAAATTTACATTATAATTGGCCGTTTGTCTATAATTGTATACGTTGATATATTGTTTTTGTTTTATATCTGTATTCTCAATGAAGTATGATGTGCTAAACGAGGTTATGGCGTCATTAACGTACAACACTGTAGCAGTACATTAGCCGGTAAAACTTTTGTTTTAAAGTTCGTCGCAAAACGTCGCATTCGTTAGTCTCGATGAAAAAAAAAAAATACAAATAAACAAATATTGCGAAAATCAGTGCACGCCGCAGACGGGGAAAAATAATTCTCCGCTCCCTTCGTTTGTAACGCTACTGCAGTAATAATAATAATAATAATAATAATAAAACAAGAAGTCCGCGAGATGTAAAATTATATCGTCAACTGCGCAAACAAACTCGCCGACGACTACTGTGCAATCCTAACGACTGACTCAAAGTAAGTACCTATATATTATCATTATTGTTCATTATCATGCAACGACAATACACTCGGGGACAGCTGACAATGTTGACTTATTATTATTAATTTAATATTGTCTATATTGTACACTCATGGATATTTAAAACGTATATTACCCGAGGTAGGTAACTATAAAAAAAAAAAAAAAATATACATATATATTTATAAAACATACTGCTACCTATATAGGTGTACTCGTATAGGTACCTATATATTATATAGGGACGGTTTTTACGACCGAAAACACACGGTTTTGTTTAATGTGTAATTATCGAATTATAATTATTTTAATGTTATGTTTGCCTCAAAATTATACCGATTATACCGATTTCGTAAATTACTACACGTAGGTATATATTATGCAAATATGAAAAAAAATAAAATAGTGCTAATTTATTTTTTATTTTTATTTTTTTTTTTTTGTAAATATTGATTAATACAATCATTTCGGTTTTTAACCGTATGCCTATACATTATTATATTTACAAATATTCGCAGCGATGGTGTTTGCATAATGTAATATGTACATGTGTTGAATCGACTCGGTTTAATAATTATAATTTTATAATTGCAACGGGAAATGGAAACTTTTTTTTTTTACATATAAACGATACCTGATTATACTATTATTACTATTACGGTATGCCGTAATATGTAATTTTCTAATCTCGTGTTTGTGTCGATGGTGTTTTTCAAATTCGTTGCAGCATTTGATCAAAAATGTTATATGATAAAACGGATTACCGCCTATATTATATAGGTGCATAATACTGCATAATATAAAATAATATTATTATTGTTTTTAGACCACTAAGTCGTACCAATTAATATTGTAAAAAAAAATAATGATAATAATAATTAATATAATATACAACTAAAATAGAGAATAAATTGCAGGTTTTTTTTTCGTTACGCTGTATAATAGTATAACAACGCGCTTTATATATTTATAACGCTTTGCAATGATGCTCGATGATTACTATTTTACGAATGATAATGTGACTGTAATTTTTACCCTCTCAAAACTATATGGACAATAATATAACTACATTTTTTTATCAGTTAAATATAAATATAATCATATTGATTGAAAATCGGCCGTCTATTTCATAATTTGTTATATTTATATGATCCCGAGTTGATGAACGACGAAGAGCGGTTTTAAAAAAAGAAACAGACTCATTTTTCGAGCAGTATAGGTAAACTAACGACGGTGATGACGTGATAGTTGCAATATTGCCCTTGAAAGTAATCAGGTAAAATGACAATTAAAGTTAATGATATATTCAACATACGACGGTATACACAACTGCAGTAATAAGAAATATAAAGTTTAATTTCTCAGTATCTACAAATCCGAATCGATATTGTAATTAAACGCTTAAAAATATATTGAAGTTAATCCAATCGATTGATATCAATGATATAATATGTCAATTATATGATGTGTAGGTTATTATTTGTTTAAACCTAAAACCAATTGTACAATATAACTTGACACAATTTTTAATCTATCCGTTGTGATCCGTATGACACAGGAACACGATAAAAGATTATTACAATTTTTACAATTAAACGTTTTCATGTTGGAAAAAATGTGATTTCCTTTTAATGTTTTATGAATCAATTGCAATTATTATATATTTATAAATAAGTATAGGTATTGCGTACTAATAGTATTAATTATCAATTTATTAACATTTCCGGTCAAAATTCATTTCAACGCGTAATTTCAATTAATGAAATTATTTACATAATATTATACTCATTTATTGTTATCTCATTTAAATGCTTAACCTACCAGTAGAAATATAAATAAAATAATTTATAACTAGATCAAAAGTAAAAAATAAAAATGTATTCATATAGTACACAAATGTTATCAATATTACAGATACTGATTGAAATATTGGTTTGACTTTAAATATAATATAATGTTAGTTTGAAAAATTAAACAATATTGAAAATAGATGAACAGTTAATGACTTAAGGATAAATAATTAAATTATTAATCATAAAATATAGTGGTCATAAGGTAATTATAATATTTATCTGTCTGGTTATTTGCTTAAATTCAGCAAACAAACAGTTGTTTTTCTTTTTTTTTTGGAACAATATTTGTTTAAAAAGTCTGCACGAGCTGTTTTTTTCTAAAAAACATGCTTCACGGGGTAACAGGATTAACGTAAAATGGTCGGATTTTGATTCTAATTTTTTTTATTTTTTATTGGAATGAAGAAGACTTTTTACGAGTCACTTTTTACTTACGTTCTGATAACATTTAATATCATAGTAATAACATTTCCAAACGCTATTGTTAGAATATGAAAAAAAAACCTACTTATGTTTTTTTTAGTTATTTTTTTTTTGGTTTTTGATTAAATAATTACAAATCTTAGTCCATTGAGCTTGTCAGAGAAATTTTTTTCTCTAAAGCCGAAAACAAATTGAAATTGATCATCTCTACGAGACAGGAGAGATAATCTGTAAAACATAATTTGAACAAGAATACGTTCGTAAATTCTTTCTTAATACAAAAATTCAAACTGACTTTTGTTGAGAATCGATAGAATTTTTCACTTGTGAATTTTAAAAACTTGTTAATAGCAAATTTTAAATAATTTGAAAAAAAATAAACCACAAGTAGGAATCTTATGAATGAAACTTTTATTTTGCACTTATCGCTATTTTTCAATCTTTCGAGCATTTTTTTAATGATATTATTTCGCAAAACATAATTTATTCACTTTGTATAGCATTTACTTATTAATATTTAAATCCAGATCCTAGACTATTAATACCATACAGATTGTATTTTCGTTCAATTGAATAATATTAGATATGTAGGTAATATAGTTACTCGCATCACGGCATTGGAAAATAACGAAGACAGCGAGAGAGCGGGCAGCAGTCGAAGAGGATTATGACAGTAGTTTGTTAACGGATTCGTATTCGTGTAAAACATGCAGTTCCGCAAACAAACAATGAATAATATGTAAGTACGCTACGTACTCGTGTCATCGGTGGAAATCGTTATTAAACGTTATTAGAGTCTTCCGGAAGAGACGGCTATAATGGTTTTTTTTTTTTTTTTATTGTTGTTCGTTGTTTTACACTACGCTCGGCACATCCGTGACGTATATGAAACATGATAATATAATAGTATTTGTCCCATGGTGCATTCTGCATTGCAGTGGCTACTATATTTATGTACGCCTATGTTGCAAAAACGATTCCGGTTACAAAAGTCATCTATAACGCACGCCTAACATAACCTAATCTAACCTTCCCCATCATATTCGCCACCACACCGGAGAGGGACGCGTCCAATATTGCTTTCCTCTCAGCCTAACCTAACCTAACCAGCGCAGAAGTTTCACTCATTTTATTCATACAATGTTTAATCGTTCAAAATATATTACGATTATGTTCGTTTTGCCATGATTTAAATAAATTTATCTGTGAGTGACATTTTTTTTTTGTGAATAATTCTATTGTGCTCGTGCTCACAAAAAAAAATTTTTAATCTTAAAACCATTTTCCTGTGCTTGATAAATAAATTTCAAACAATATCAAATGATATTAAACTTAAAACTGCTACTTTAGAAACAAATATGTCTGTGTTTTTCAACAGCTACTGCGCAATTTAATCGATTAGTCATTTATCTAAGTTAATAAAACTGTGTTTTAAAAGCAATAATATAGTAGACCACATTCTATTGCATCGTACTAAATGTACTGGTATATACAAAAACATTATAATATATTCATATTTTAAAAATAAATTAAAAGAAGACATAGGTGCTTAGAGTCTTTTATTGGCTGAGGCAACTGATATGAGTGTCAACTTGTGTATCAAGTGTAACTTGAAGTGTGCATTATATACTATTCTGGATTTAAAAAGTTGAGATTTTTTAAAATTTAATTTATCTTAAATGTGGTACTGCTATCAGTGTGATTTAAGGGATAGAGCAAAGCCTTTTTATATGAATTGACTATATTGAATATACGTGAAATTGATTGCGACATCGCTAATATAATGGTTAACTAGCGTGTGATTGATGTATTAACATTAATACAAAAAGAAGTATAACACCTTGTGATGCCATTCAATACAGCTTGCAGTATCTAATAACTTACCAGATTACTTAGAATCTTTAGATACTTGTAGAAACTTACAATTAGTTTGCACGTTCCACTAATAAATAGTTATCTTATAAAACATTAGTTCATAGTTAGTTTATATAATGGAATTGATCCTTTGAAAATTGTTCATGTGTCATTAACAAGATGATTATCTATATAGAAGTTGCTGTATGTAAAATTCTAAATCAATGAGTGACTTTAAAAGAACACTTCAAGGAAGCCTGTAATACTATTGGTCTCAACTAGCTTATGTAAAACAAGGTTTTTGAGTTTCTTGACGATATTTTAGACTTAAGTAGCTTATAAATACTATTTCAGTACTTATTTTCGGTTGCTGTTTTTTCTTTTATATTATAATATAATATATATGGTTTGGTACATCAATTACTCGAATATTTTTACGAAATTTTGTGATCGAGATAAGAAAAATCCGGTCTAAAAAAAACAAAATGTAATTTTTAGTCTATATAATCGACCATGGAATGTACTGCAAGTATACTTAAACTGCAAATGTTGTGCATACTCATTACACGTGTTTCAAGATATTATAATATTTTACGGTTCCAAACGGTATAAACCCGTATGTATATAGGACGTCGTTTAATTTTACGTTTCGGCCACAATTGTTATTTGTGCACAAAACCGCGTCGAAAATTTAGTCGTCATGCATTTTAGTATATTATTTACACGAAAATTTGGATTTCGAAAGTTTCAATTTAATAATATTGTAATATGAAGAATATCATATTTTATGGTATACGATAAAAAGCTGTGCATTTCACTCTCTCACTCTCTCTTTCTCTATCTCTTTCTCTCATTCAAAAAATGACCAGCCGTTACTGGGAATTGTGTTACCACCGCGCGCGATGTGTTTAGTTTTAGTATACGTTCGCAGTCCGTTCATTATAATAAACGTCGGCACTGATTGTTCGTCTTGCATACGCTAATGGAGACCGCGTTTGCGTATAGATATCCTTTACGGTTAAGTATATAGCGCACAAAACTACGTTATATAAATAAATATATATATATATATAATTTTTTTTAGGTTAGGTGTGAATGTGCTGCATTATATGATTACAATATATTACTATAGTTATTTAACCAGTATATTTCGGAGATTTTCGACGTCGTTTTCAAGATACACATTATAGGTGCCTAATAGTATAATATATTAATTGGGATATTAGGAGCAGACGGTGAAATAATTCCCGAATCGGGGGAACTTCCGAGGTTAGGTTAGTAAAATAAAGGAGTTCTCTGTGTTATAACTTTTGTTATTGGGTCCAAGTTTTATTAGTTATACACGATTATACAAATTTCCTGGTTTTTTTTTTTTTGTAAAAATATAGACAGAAAAAACAAACAAATATTACACTTTTTATTCTAAATTATATTTGTATTTATTAATATATTTAGCAGTGAAATAATAATTTTTTTTTTTTTTAATATGGAAAAACTTTTAACTTGAATAGTATCGCAGAACTCTAAAATCGTAAAACCATTACTGAGTTCTGATTAATTTGTCTACGATCGGTAAAAATATTTCACATATTAACTCGTTTTGCTATTATCCAAATCGAAAACTGTAAATAAGGATAAAAAAAAAATGCTCAAATCAAGTCGTTTAGACCGTATCTTTTAGTATCTTAGCCGTTTAGTATCTTTATACAATTTAGAAGAAAAAGTTTTTATGATCACTGACTAGGCGATTATCAAAAAAAATATACATATTATAAGAAGAATTAAAAGAAGAAGTAGAAGTATAATAAAAAGAATGTATGAAAAAAAATCAATTTTTTCTTTAATGTGTGAATTTTCTTAAGGTTTTTGTATTTTATTTAATATTAATCAAAATATAATTAAAAATATCTTTGTACGAAATACATTTGTATAAACAAAATAATGTGTTAATCCTGTGCGAGCAGTAAATATATAAGATAATAATATCCTAGTTTGTTTTTGGTTCTGATTGAAACGAGAAATATATTAGTTTTATTATGAGGTTTATTTATTTTTATTTTTTATATTGAGTACAAAATTTCTCCTAGAAATTTCGCTCCAATCGTAACATAAATAAGTAAATAAATAAATGTCAAGAGTCCTTTTTTGTTACATTTTAACTCTTGTTGGTACTTTAGTTAAGTCATTTTTTGAAATACTCATTAATATTCAATATAATGAGGAAAAACTGATTCTTTGGTTTAAAAATTAAAAGATTAAGAATAAGATTATCATTGGCAGCCAGTTTTTATTTGTTTTATGTTATTTGTTTTTATTATTTTAATCGCATAACTTTTTTAAAACAATCGTTGTTTTCGTGAAAATACACATTGTTGAAAAATCAATATTATTGACCGAACTCTGTTCAGAACCGTTTTTCGTTAGCAATGATTAATCTTCGCGTACAGATATAAATTAAATTCCTCTCTATATCCTACCTTCCAAACTTCTCACCAACAACAATGGCTCACCCGTGGTGTGGAATATGCTACCCGTTTATTTTTATATAATTTCAATTTTTATCTATACTTTGATTTACTTATATATATATAAATAAAATATCTCTGCACCCTTCATTTAACATAACTGAACTGGGTAACTTCTGAACTCTAATCGTATTTATCGTTTTTTAAATTAATATTGTATATATACAGAGTGTATTTGCAGGCTTTGACAATTACCTATGTGCGATTTATGTATAGGAAATTATCAAATCTCGCAGATACACTGTATATTATATTTTTTTTTTAAACGGAAAATATTACGACGAGCGAAAATACGAAATGTTACATAATGACAGATTTAAAATTTATATAACAGTCGTATATTATGTACTCATACGTATAATATATTATAATATTATGTCAGGTGGTTGATTCATTCATATTAAGTATCGCTTTTTTTTTTTTTTTTATTCTTCACTGTATATTATATGTCAACGGCGACGTAATAATATAATCCCTACCAAAAAAAGCGTGAAAAAAGATAAACATCTTTCAAAAAATTTTATTATTTTTATTATTATTTTTTTTGCCCGTCATACATAACATAATTATGAATTAAAGTCATACATTTGATAGTGTCTGTACTTACACTACTTTCACCCGAAAACGAATTTTTGAATTTTTGAAAATCAAATTCACACACCCAAAGTTCCATTAAAATCGAATATTCAAACCATGAATTAAATTGGCATATAGATGTCTAACAAGCTATGATAATCTTCTGTCGGAGTGACGGTAACGTGACGTGACTTCTCCGAATCAACTAACACGGGTGTAAAAAATGGTAAAACGATACTACGACTTAAAATGTTAGAAGTTAAATCCTAATCTATGGTTCAAAATACACATTAACTTACAAACATGCATACTCTCTTAATTCGTGGTACAGACAGTCCTCAGAAACAGCTGGTTGGTAACCCGTGATAAACCGTCCTTATAGTATTTTTTAATTTGTTTATTTCTATAAGCATATTTTAATAACGCGATTGTATCAATAATCCGTGTTCCTAATACGTAGATTCTGCTATGCTTACCACTTCCCTCTTGAATTGGATATTGGAATTATTCGAATTGATTCCCAGATGATTTTATAAGTAATTTCAATTTTCCTTCCCATTTTTTACAGAATTTGGTCTGTCTACATAAGAGAAAAATGTCACAAACTGAGAATGTATGTACTATTATATAGTAGATATACTGTAATGTAGGTCACAAAAAGTAAAAGAAAAATTTAACGTATAGTTTCGACCCGAAAACGACGGAGCTGGCCGGTTGTACGTTTCGGCGCCCGACGCACTGTAGTTGACATTAATCGTTCGCAGTTTGGAAAAAAAAAATCTCATTATAAGAGCACTTCGGTAGTAAATGTTCGCGGCACTATATTAGGTATTATATTAAATCGTTAGACAGAAATTCCGAGGAGTTTCACTACCACCCTAACCTCCTCCTCACGGCTAGCTGTGATGTAGAACAAGAATGAAAACAATTTTAACGGATTCGGATGATACGAATGGTATATTATTGTACACCAAAATGAAATCGGCATAATTGCATTTTTTCCGTCGTAATATATTATTTGCATTCACGTACACGTTATTGTTGTTCCTATGTGCGTGAAAATCGTATAACACACGAGATTCTGATGATGGGGCACATTATAAGGTTACGATGTTGTTGGTTTTGTTTTGTTTTTTTTTTTATTTCTATTGCAAAACGGAAGACTCGATTAGTACTACATGATTAAATCAAAAAGCCGCGCATACTTCACACCGAGGATAGACTTCTGCCAAAGTTGCATAGTTGAGACACTTAAAAGACATGGAGATATAAGACGATTGCAATCATAAAAACATAAAAACGATTCTGAGGGGAGCTCGGTAAACTGGCCAAAACCGATGATGTATAATCATAATTTATTGTTGGCAGTTATTACATTTTCATACAAAACAATTTTTTTTTAGCAAAACTATCGTCGATCTAATGAAATTGTTCGAGTAAAGACCACCGAGGAGAAATGAACAGCGTCTTTCAAGATTTAAAAAATCTAATCATTTTTACAAACTGAAAAGTGTTTTCCAAAGTAAAAAAAAAAACACATACCTAGTAAAACCAATTCGTTCATCATACGCGCTCAGAATAAAAAGAATAAGAATAATATACCCCAACATGAAAATTAATAATCTAGTTTTTCTCACAATATTTAAGATACTTCTATTTTTTTTTTTTTTTTTTATGCATTATTTATTTATTTCATTTACGTTTTGTTTTTTGGCGACGTCTGAAGACGAAAATTCAGTTTTTTGATATTTTACTACGCTGATAGTTGCAATTTTTTTTTTTTTTGTATTTAGAAATATTATTACAATACGACAACCAGAAACTTTTTTTAAGAATCAACATTATAAAATAGATGAATTTTAAAAAAATAATAACAATAATAATGTAAAAGATGTCGTTCTCCAACAATGGCCGTTTTGTGAACGGTTTTGCAGCGTAAAATGTGGGCGAGTATAATATAAAATTTAAAAAATAAATTAATTACACACTATAAAAAAAAACAGATGACTTAGCAAATATATAATATATAAGTAATAGGTGTATAGCGAAAACGATGCGTTTCACCTTCGCACAATCGTTATGTATTATTATTATTAAACAGAAAAAAAAAACAAAAAAATTGTGTAGTTAAAAAATTATTATCGTTTGTACATAAATGAACGAACGCCGCCGGTGGCGAATTTCGAACTTCAATTCATTAGCTCGTGTATCGTATAGTGTATAAATAGTATAATTATAATAGGTTAAGCACATAAAAAAATATTAAATCGTTCGATATATACGGGGTGATCACGGTTATGTTTATATCAAAAAACAAATACACGTCTATTATAAACGTATCCATACGAAATTTTCTGTTAAATTTTATTTCGATATTATCGTTTATGATTCTAATTTACGAAAATTATTTTCGAACATTATATACTCTCGTTTCGTGTACACGTACACGTTACCGTCGTATGTCATTCACCTTTTTAAATATAATCGCTGATTCGTGGTTAAAAAAAAAAATTTAAATCGCTCTGTATATTATAGACGCATGTTTTTTTGCATATATCATATCCGTAATATTATAATGTAAAAATAATATAATTACCTACGTTTGACTCTGTATATATATACAGAGTGTATCTGCAGGATTAAGATAATTTACTATGTATAATTACATGGGAAATCATCAAATTCCGCAGATACACCCTGTATAGAAAAAAATTATGAAATATATTAATCGATACATTTATACATTTCCTTGTAAATAGCGACGCAGGCCTTCGTTTTTTTTTTTTATTTTATGCTCGCGGTGTATTTATATGGTGTATTATAATTATTATAATATGACGAATAGTTACAACATATTATTCTATTTTTTATTTTGCTTAAGTTTATAATTTGTATCGTTGATCCAAAGAAAAAAGGGCTTAAGTCAATTTTTAGGATTTTTTTCATAGTTATGTTATGATTTATTATTTGTTCACAATATATCTGAATGATAAACACACGATGTATATTCTTACGTTATACTGAAAATTAAAATATTTCAAGTCACTATGATAAAAAAAAGGTGTGTCATATTATTTTATTTTACTGTAAATATTTAATTTTCGACATTTAATTTGCTCGTATCGAAAACTATATACAAAATTAACTTAAGCCTTTCTTATCTGGAACCAAAGCAATATTATACCTATACTTAGGTACGTACGAAAAATCGATTATACACTTTTTTATAATTATTACTTTTTATTGTTTATTATTATTTTTAGATTCTGAGTTTAGCGAAGAATGTATTGATTTTACAAAGGTATTTATCTTATTTTTTATGTGAACAATTTTTCTACCAGAAATCTTACTCCGATTATCTAGTATAACATCTTTCCTGAAAGTAAATTCTCATTATTATTCGAGATAATGAGGAAAACCTAGTTTCTTAAGTTAAAAAAGATTGAAAGATTAACCAAAAGGTTGAAAACCACTTTTATTTTTTTTTTTTGTTACTAAGTTTTTATTATTTTTTATCATTTTTAAATAATCATTGTTTTCATGGAAACGCACATTGTTGTAATCATTTTACCATAATATGACACATATATTGTTGACAAAGCAACACTATTATCTGAAATTGGCTCAGAATCGTTTTTTCGTTATCAATGATTTAAAGTTGCTACACATATATACATTAAATTTCCTTCAATAATCCTACCTTCCCAACTTCCCACCTATAAGAGTGGCTGCACCTACGTATGAAGTATATCCGACCATTTTATTTACATAATTACACAACTATAGACAAAAACTGGTTAAACAAATATATTATACATTTTTTCTCTAGACAAATTTATTTTAATTATGACTACTAAAAAATATTAATGAATCATTTAATTTAAATTGTTCTGACAATTGACAAACAAATGCGCATTGGTAAGGCGTATACTGCAGCATATATATCACTTTAATGACCATTTTTTTTTTTTCATTTGTACCGACGGATTTTTTTAATTTTTTTTAACGGTTGTTCACAATTACATTTTTTCGCATGACATTCATATCATCGTATACAGAAAACATGTTCATTCCCGCACAAAAATGTTAAGTGTTTTGAGATAATAACATTATAGTATAATATATTAAGTAATTTCGTGGGAACTGCACAGCTGCTTACTGCCAGTGTGCCTAAGGAGTTACAGCAAAACACGTTATTCGAAAAATATTATCATAAAATCTATATTTTATATTTTCATCATAAATATATTGAAACTACGGCGATTTTGCTGCCCAATTATTATTAACTGCAATATGAATAAAATAATATATACAATACGAAATATCAGTTCTTTTTAAACTACATTGCTAATATTAATACGAAAATCTAATATTATATAATGTATTCCATGTATATCTATATCTAAATTAATTATTATAATACACACACGCTAGTTGTTTTTTTTTAAATTAAAAATTGCTTTTTATACTATAAAGTATATACTACCTAATCATATTGGTGTATAACCTTTTTATTACTATATACGATAAGACACGTAGCTGTAAGGAGGATTGGAAAGACAAAACTGTCCCAGAGCACAAAAATTGGATTTGTAATGATATTGTATCTTTTATAATAGGTACCTAGTGTATTTTTAAGATTAGAGGACTACATTAAGAAGAATGTAAAGCTAAAGGAGCCAAATTTAATAGCAGATGATAGTGGCAGAGGTGAAAATATATACATATATTTAACGTTATGGTCATAAATAGCCCGAGACCAAGGTAGAAGAAGATAAATTAATTTTTAAAAATAAAAGTTTATAATATATGCGTACTTTGAATTTAAAGAATGGGATTTATAACCAATTCAAATATCTAAGTACGGTGGTTTACATCTCGTTAAGGATTTAAAGTTCTTTGTTGGCTAAGTAACTATAGAACAAAATTTTAAGTTTCACCGGGACGCTTAAATCTCTATAGCCACAATGGATAAAACTGACGAGATATGATGTATAAATACATAAGGCTAAGATTTTAATGTGCTTTGCATTGTTTTCAAAATCTTGTTGTGCGATGCTCGTTTTGTTAAAAAAAATTTTACATATTTTTAAGCGAGAATAAAAAATTTATTTTGACTATTTTGAATTTTTTAAGGGCATTATTTTGAATTTTTAGGGCATTAAAGTATTTTGAGGTTTAATGGGACATTATATTCTCAGCTCTAATAATATGTAATCGTAACCGGAAATAAGATCCTTATTTCGAGTTTTTCCGATTTTTCGGTAACTAAAACCGGAAAATCACGAAGTGGTACTCTATATATATCTCTATAAGTTTGAAAAGCACATCTTCAAACTGCGTGATAAAACGTATATACATGCATGTATACATTTAAAAACATAATGCAAAATAAAACATGTATTACAATAAATTCACATTCCAATAGCAATGTATGAATAATTAATTATATGCAATTATTTAACATTAGGTATAAGTCTAAGGAAAATATAATTATTACTTTGGAATTTTTTCGACACGTTTAGGCGATAACCCAAATACTACGCGTTATCGTTTTTTATTATAATTTATAGGTATGCAATATAATATAAAATAATAATATTATGTAAAATGAGAGTTGGTACATAATATACCTATGATTTATTTGCAGCGTAGAAAAAAATATTATTTTCCGATTTTCTAAACGTAATATTTCTATAAGTAAATAGATATCCGTATTCGGTTCCCTTTTAATTTTAAAGGGAAGAGGGGAGATGCGTGGGCATCTCAAACGTAGCTTTGTAAAATCAATAAACTGTACGACAAATAGTTAAGATCTAATTTTGTACATTAAATTCAAATGGTAGAGATATTTTTTCATTAGGATCTTATTTTGTCATCGCGTTCTTTATTTTGTAACATTGTTATGTGTGTAGCTGTTGTTAAAACAATAATATTATATAAGTTTTAGCAGAATACTGTTGGCGAAACATGTCCAAATATTGATAATAATAGGTACATAGGTAGTTACGAGATAATGTTTCAACGTCTATATTCTCCTTGGATTTTGTGAACTATACGAGGTATGTGTACAACAAATTACTGTATATTTTTTGTATTTAACTGGTTTTTGATTTTTTCGAAAATATCCATACGGCGTATTGTTTGAGCAAACACGTTTTGCGGCTCTTAACATTTTTTGAACAATATAACTATTATATTATTATAATTTATAAGCGAGATATAAATTCTTTCGATCAGTACTATATTGTGTAATAATTATTAAAGTACTCACAATGTAGTTCTGTACACGGTACAACCTGCTTATGTATTATAATTAAATGCAAAACGCCGTACGAAACACGTATATACTCAATATTATTATAATAATATTAATTATTATTATTATTATTATTATTATTATTATTGCCGTTTGTGTACAAGCGTATACTATAGAAATTACGTGTCGAGAAATAATAATTACTATATAGTCTCATTATCCAATTACGGATTAATTATTGTAAAACGGCGTCCGTGTTCAATTAAATATTGTCCGCTCATGGATTTATAATATAATAATATGCATTATATTGTGTATACCTACCTATATAGGTATAAAATAAACTGCAGAGTATACTTTCTGATGTAATCGATTCTTCGATAAATATTCAATATATTATGTAGAGTGCAGTTGGTACATATATTGAAGAAACAAGGTGATTTTTTGTTGTTTTTTGCGATCCGTCTACATAATAAAAGTATTTAGTCGTTTTTCTCAGTATTTATATATCAGACATAATATAAAAAATCGTTTGACGATATTAATAACAATATTTTAAAAATGTTGGCCTTATTACCGAATGCGTAATCATGTCGGATTTACCGTATACATATTATAATATATTGACGGTTTACAATAATTTAGACCAGAGGATCGGGATGACGAATGAAAATTATCATTTCAAAACGAATGTGAAATTTATCACCCTCCCTTATTCCTCGAAGTCAATACGCATTTAATTAGATAGTAGATAACATTTGACAATACTATTTAATAGAAGCATAAACAGTTGCATGTAATAATATAACGATAAAACAGAAATAAAATTAACTTAAAATCCTCCGTGAAAATCGCTGGATCGTGCAGATAAAAAAAAAATATAAAACCATCCTGTATAGTGTATACTTTTTCGAGCACGTTCGTAAAACGTGTACATTTTATTGGTAAATATCAACCTACCTAACGATTTTATTGCGTACGATTATTTTAAATCAATCGGAGATTCGCTGTAAATCCGCGGTAAGAGTAACATTTTTATTCTTAGAAAAAAGCCTAGTAAAATACATCGGTAATCATCTCAGGTTTCTCCGTTTTTCTACTATGACGATTTTTAAAAAAATAAAAATCCAACCAAAACCCCATGTTATAATGACAATACTAAATACCGACAGCCTAGTGGTTCCCTACCTTTTTTATTCTACGCCCACTTTGTAGATTTTCAAGAATCTTGTGCCCCCTCTCTTAACAACGAGACGAAGAAAAAAAAAGTCATCAACAAAATCCTATAATATAATATTCGTATAAAAGCTGATAAGTAAACAAGCCTACTCGGTAGCCGGTCGTTATTAATTTTTAATTTTTTCTCTTCATTGTAAAATAAAAATAATTTAATAAATACAAATTTTACATCGTAATGATTGCTTGCACCTCCCCAGCAATGTGTTCACGTCTCCCCTATAAGGTTAGGAAGCATTTTGATAGCCCGACGGAGATGCGTCAGCTGATAAAACTCAATACGTTACCGTCTCTATAGTTAACTCGGTTATTCATATTTCATTTTAATTATTCGATATGTTTATCCCTCACTTTTTTTTCTTATTGCATGCGTTTTCACATGATTAAAATAATGTAACCAAAGTAATTAGATGCAACTCCTTTTATTTTTAACAAATATATTAAGTATATTAACTGCCAATACAGAATTAGAAAAGAAATGTTTTCTGTATAGAAAACTATACCTATAACCAATCACTTTTTTAAATGCAGATCCCATGTTTTATTTATTCCGGATGAATAATGACTCTCAGGGTATTGTCCGAAAAACCATTAAATGTTTTCACGTCCCTATATAAAAAAATTAGATAATTACATCTGTCCACATTTGACCTCTACGGTCGAATTATTAGTTATAACTACAGAATACTTGACGACGTGTAAATATTACTAGAATTTTTATCTGTAAAAATTAGCAATTATTGAACCCTTTATAACTTGCAGAAAGTATGTCAAATTTAAGTCGTTCTGTAGAATTTACAAAACAATTTATATATATATATATATATATATATATACAAGGTGTCCCACGAAGACATACCTGTTTTAATATCTTCTGAGATAATAAAAATAATCAAATTCTTTTTTATTTTTATATTACTCACAGTGATAAGAACTACAAATATTTATATTTGAATTTAATGTTTTTTTTAGTAATACAACTAAAAAACTATTTTTTATTTTATTATAATCGAAAAATTTGAAGTTAATCATTTTATAGAGTTTATTCTTCTGAAAATGTTGACGTTTCAACTTATTATTTTCATTAAATTTGTGATTTTTAATAATTTTTAAAGTTCAGAGAAAAGTGCCTATAATTATGCAGCACACTGCAATCGTATTCACTAACTGATTATTATTACTATGGCTAATTGACTGTACACTTTTTTCTCGGAACTAAAAATTATTAAATATCACGATTGAAAATGAAAATAAAAAATTAACACATCAAAATTTTCAAAAATAAACTATACAAAATAGCTATTTTGTAGAGTTAAATCTAAAAATCTATCTAATTAATTTTTTTAATTTTTCAAAAATAATAAAATAAAGTTTTTTTTTATTTTTTATCAAAATATACAAAATTAATTGGAATATAAATATTTATAGTTTTCATTCTAGTGAGTAATATATAAAAAAAAAAAAACAGAATCTGATTACTTTTATTATCTCCGGAAACATTACAATAGATACATCTTCATGGACGTATTGTATATATTTTTTTTACAGAAATTGATAGATCAATAAAACACACGATATAATAAATTGTAATAATAATCATGTCGATTAATCAATATAATGTTTATTATTTTACGTTGTCAATCAAATATCTTTTGTATAAGTATCTTTACCTTTGTGTGATAATTCCGTAACCTTTGATTGTTTTTTATTTTTTTTGCATTAATGATGTTTTAGCCACAGCGAACGAGTTTTCGGAGTGCCTATTTTACAAATCGATGATCGAACAAATAGTATTATTAGGTATGCTTCTTCAAATATATTGCACAGGATGGATTTATTATCCTACGATGATATCAAGGAGGAAAAAAATCATTATGATATATTATCAATAAAAATCATTCAGGATGTGGTGTTGTAGACGAGCATGTAAATATTTTAAATAACTTATATAACTTCTTTTAAAAGATGCTGGAGTGTTTTATGGATGAAGAAATAAGATTTAAAAAAATCAACGAACAAAGGACAATGATAATGTGTAGATACCGCCATAAAAATAAGAAAATCGCTACAATGGTTAAGTCACACAGCCCTTCCTCTAAAAATGATTATATCTGAAAAAAGGAACAGATCTGTAGAGACTTTTAATATATTAGACGTAAAAAAGGAGGGAGGAGGGATAGAAGACGAAAAAAACAGAGAAGAGTCGTAGTGTACTCGTAAAAACAGACAATACCAGTCGGAAGACATGAAATATCTATAAATGGAGAAAGAGAAGATTACGATGTATTGTCGTAAATCGACCGCGGTAAACCGCGCGATATTCTAATTTTTTTAAGGTTAAAAACCGTCCGGACTCCGTCTCTCTCGTTTCACGCCGATCGTTTTTGGCATTATATAAATAAAATATACGACTACACATATTATTAGATAGATACCCATATTTTTACTTTTTTGTCGGACACACGAGTATATAGAGACACCCCTCTCTCGGCAAAACATCACTGCGCGCATTATTCCAAACACGTCCGCCGCTTTACGATTGTAATGAGTTATTTGTTCCCCATCATAATAATAATAATATTCTCTACTGCAGCAATCTCTTGTATTATTTTTTTTTTTGTTGTTTTTGGTCATATATAATATACTCGTACATTTTTTTTCTCTATTCTTCTTCTTTCCAAATTTTTCTCCTACACCGCTGCACATGCTATAGTAGGTACAACAAAAGAAGATAATTTACAGAAAACGGGAACGCGAACACACGTGCATTGCCGTTGCGTATTAACGGACATTTTTCCTGAACGTTAGCCAAGCATAATATAATAATAATATTGCACCGTAGATATAGTTTTAGAAAAATTAAAAACGCATTTTATAAAATATATTAGTAACTCATTTTCGTTGTATTTGTAGTATTTAATCGTTTTATCCCACAAATTTCGATCGACGAATAAAAATTTTTATTATCGTGATGAATTATAAGTTATTATTTTATTAAATAAAAAATGACAAAAAGCCGATACTCCTGATGAGTGTGTTGTAGATCACCGTTGTAGATGGAAGTTTGGGAAGGTAGAATAAATCATTGCTAACAGTGTTTAATGTGGAAAGGGGCGGAGGTTTAGAGACTTTAAATAGTTTAAGTCATCAAAGTCCGGGAGGACGGTTTAGTTATTATAACTGGGGTATTTTTAATGAAATTTTAAAAAAACTAAATTAGTTTTATCAAAAATGAATTTTTTAATACCTATTGGATTATGCACAACCGTTAACCAGATTATATTTTACTTATTACTGAGTAAACATATTTTTAGGATAGTATTTTGGCAGGAAGAGGGAGTGCGGTTTATTTTTAAATCATATTAGCATACAAATTCTATAAACAAAATATGTGTTTAAGAGAAAACATTTTAAAAGACTTGTTTCCATGATGGGCTTCCTGAAAGTTTAGTTGGGTTTAGTTAGTTTCCAGAAACGCTCCTAAATTTTTGATAAATATAGTTCCCCCATTTTTTCCATTTTCACCACTTGTTGCTAAAGAAAAACGATTCTAAACGAAGTTCGATAAAAAAAAACACATATGTTTTGAAACGCAAAGAAAATACATGAAAAATCTAAAAATTACCTCTTCAATGCACCAACAATAACTTAAAATTCTACAAAAACACTCACTAGTCAGTTTTCGATTGGAATAAATTTTCGATAGAAAAGTCGTTAAATTTTTATTTTTTTAATAATATTATACCACCAACGTGCTCAGAATCTAAAAATCCATTTAAAAATCACGTCGGCATTTAAAATTAAAATAATATTTTTTTAAAATTGATATTTGATCAGATATTTTCGGAGAAAAACGTCTATAAGGTCTCTAGATTCTAGTAAAATATATATTTTATACATAACAACCCGGTATTTTATATTTTGGTGACCCTAAATAATTAGCTGGCGACCTTTAGAGGAGTCATGACCCCCAGGTTGAGAAACACTGCTCTAGCTTATTGGTCTAAATATATATATAAAAAAAAAAAGAAAAACAAATTACTTCCAAAACACCTTAAAAAAAACGGGTTTTCAATCGATAAATAAGTTGATTTCAATATCAACACATGGATTTCGATTTCAAATATAGGATATTATATATTATATATAGGATATCAATTTACCACAAATAATAATAAAATTAAAAACTATAGAACACTATAGTTTTCTTTTCAGGGAATCTGAACTCTGAAACTACACGATTTAACGCATTTTACCGACGACCCTCTTAGATGCGGTCAATTTGTACGATTGCCATTTGAACTTCATCCCCCGTCAGCATATTTCACACTTGGTATAATATCATGTGCGTATAATAAAATGCGTAGGTATCTAGGTACACACATAGCTACTACTTAAATTTATCGCATTAAAACATTTTCCCCTCTCTATTAATAATATAGTGCTTTTATTTAATAAAAAAATAATGATAATAATAAAACTGACAATTTTATTAAGATATTTAACAGCATAATATAAAAAAAAAAAAAAAAACAAACCGATTATTCGGTTATATTTTTAACAACATTTTTAGAACGGGTCGACGACGACTTTTAATATTTACAGGGATATTCTCGTCATTGCGATTTGCTTATATACTTAGGTATTTATTCGTATTTAAAATACAATTATTTCTAACCGGAGGATATAATATAATTTCGTCAAATCGTTTTTTTACTCGCGTAGAAGGTGTGTAAGTATATTATAATATTGTTCCGATCACCCGGCACGATGGCTAAACAACAATGACTATCGTAAATAAAACAATAATATTATTGTAATCGGGACTCGTGACGGACGTGCATTAGCCATTCGTTCGGTATAATAATATTAAAGTGTACTGGTACCTATAAACTTTATGTTAGTATTATTATTATGTTCCTATAATATTATAATAACGTGTCATATGATATTAGAGGTAAAGCACGAACGTGCTTCTGTATTTTAAAAGTAAAATTATTAATCATACAATTCGGCCAATGGTTTTCATTTTGGCTATACCTAACTAATATAATGCAACGCATGATAATAATAATGATTCGTAATCTATTATGATCTAATTACCTGGACTAGTTTGCCAACTTAGACCACCAATGAACATTTTCCTGAAACAAAAAAATACAACATATTATAATATAGTTTTCAAAATAAATGTAAAATGTATAAGTATATGTTTATGACACGTATAGTAAATAAGAAAAACTAAGGCAGCGAGTTAAATGTAGGATTTTTATTCCCGCAGCAGAACCTGAAAATATCGGATAGTACAGTAGGTGTAAGGTTACAGAGAGGGCCGGACACGACGACTTTTGGCGAAGTCGGAATCCATGTTTGTACGCACAGCCAATGGAAGAGAACCCAAAGTTCTCTTTCTTAACTCCGTTTGAAATAAATTAGGCATATGGCGAAGACCGATACGAGAGACATAGAGTTTCTAAACGAAGAGTCAAACTGGAATAAATCGAGAGCCCCTAATAGGGAGGGTCGGATGATTTGGTGTGTGTACTATGTAATCCATGGTTATAGCGACCGATAACTCCAAGGAGAAGAAGTTATAACACGTCAAGTATTTAAAACGTATATATTTTGTTTATTTTTATATGATGTATTTGTGATTATTATATTAATTTAAACAAAAATAAAATTTTAAATCACTGCGCGTTATAGAAAATAAATTTGACGATTATAATTATAATATGATTTTATAGATACGTTATACGTAGGTACTCTTATAGATAAGGTTAGGTTGCCAGGCCGTAGGAAGCCAGACCCCACCGGTCCGATGGAATCTATTGGAAAAAAAAAAGAAGTACACTCGGTATAAATTTACTATTATTCAAACGGCTGTAAAAATTTACGTTTACACAAGCTCGAAAAATAATCTAATAATATATTCAATCTTTACTCTTTCTTTCACTCTCTCCCTCTCTCTCTCTCTCTCTCTCTCTCTCTCCCTCTAAAACAAAAACAACATAATATTTCCATTAACTCGTCGGGATAAAATGTGAACCGTTTTGTCGGTGCGCATCAGTGTTTTTCTATATATATAACAATGATAATATAAAAAGAACGTTTTTTTATTTTTTTGAGTTCTTTATTCGAAAATTTCAAACAATCGAACTAGTCAACGTTATATGTTCCTATGCATACTATATTGTATATTATAATCTGTACGTCGGGCTTTTTAGTTTTCCAAAAGTGATCATTCGTCCCTATGAATGTGTGAGCATTTTTTTCCTATATACTGTATTTTTGGGAAAACGCCAAGCGATGCTCTTGTTTTATATACGCCGTACTTGGGTTTCAAAAAAAAAAAAACCTTCACGTAAAAATAATCAGTAAGTTCGAGATAGGTAATTAAAGAAAACGTAAAACAAATTTCGTCCTATAGGTAATATACTATTATTTATAAATACGAGTGAAAAATAAGAAAAAACTACCACCAGGTAAACCGTAAATGTTATTTTTTCTGTTCGCTATTTTGTTACCTATAGTATACTATTATTATTATAACTATTTTCATCTGGATGTTGGATATCATCCAAAACCGATATATTGTTGAAACTATACTACAGAACGTGCGTGCGCGCTTGCGCACACACACACACACATACATAAATATAAAGATAATTCATCATTAAGATTTTGTACACAAACTCCTCGTGAGTGTTATTTACGATACCGCGGAACGCATCACTACAATAATATATCAAAGGGAACCAATAATCATTATTATATATAGTCCGTCAAAAACCACGCAGTGTATAATGATTCCAGTATCTATACTTACGTTTTATACGAGAAAATATTAATAATATTAATCGAATTGAACTCAAGTGAAACACCACGCACCGTTTTATTATTTAACGATAATATTTTTAATTTCTATACTATACCTAATGTTTTGAGTTTTTAGTCAAAATGTCTCTACTCAAATGAAAAAATGTACATAAAATAACTCCAGCGATTAACATTAATTCTAGTATTTTAATAGAATATATATATACAGTGAAAACAAAATAAAATAGTATATTGTTGATCATATAGAGAACAAATATTTGAAAAAATATTTCCACCGGATCAGTATAACGACACACCCGATGAGAAGAGTTATTATTGAGAAAAGAAGGGTAATTATTCGATAATAAGTCTATTATTGTAAACGTCGTTTACGATAGTTCGCTGGCTCCATTTGTCGTAAAAAGGTTGGTTTTGTTTTTCGAAATTATCTTTGTCGTGCGTCATTAATCGGCCATTTTTTTTTTTATTTCTCCGTCTTTCGTTCGATAATCTATAATAGGATTTATACCCATACTCAGCATGGTATAGAGAATCAAAAAACATTTTTTCCACAAAATAATACAACTACATTATAGTTAGTTAGCACACTCAATATTTTATACTAAAAATGTTCTAACCCGACCAATTGCAAAATAAAACCTTATAAGATAACACTTATTTCCGTCTAACGAGTTTTTGTTATTGTTATTTCACGATTATAAATAGAAAAATCGTGACGATGCTCAGGAAAAAAATGACGACTGTTTCCGTGATTGTTTTCCTGTTTTTTTTTTTTTTTTGGTTTTCCATTTGAAACGAATTAAATTTTTGGCGGATAACAATCGCGCATGACGTTATCGAGTAGCATAACATGTCAGTATGTAGACTTGGCTGCAAGTTGCTTAACCGTGATAGTTTTACATGAATATGAAACGAAAACAATATTTCGATCACGTTACCCACACGTACGTATAAAACAACAACAATAATAATAATAGTAATTAATATTTTATCGGCCCCTTGAAACGATATTTTTACTGTTTTGTAAAAGCGACAACTACATGCAGTTGCAACGTTAGTTTAGTAAATGCGATCACAGAAAACGGGTAGCAGACGGTCAGTGCTCACTGCAGTGCGATGAAAACAATATGGCAAAAGAACGATGGGAAAAAGACGTACAATTTTATTACATTGTCAAAAAGTTTATATTTGCTGGCCACACACCACAATCCGCGTGCGGATTTCTGGATCGAAATCCGTTTTATAGTGCGTATATTATATCCTTGAAGCAGCCAGTTCTGCACACCTCCCCTCTCTCTCTCACACCACGTCGAGGAAATCCGAATCCCTAAGGTTCACCCTTGATGTCACACATCACGGTTCCCCCGCTCCCTCCATCCCATAAGATAACCAAACGAACACATTGTCAAAAAGCTACTGGCAGCATAATATAATATAAAAAACAAAAAAAACAAAACCGAAAAATCGATAAGACGAACAAATACGGTTTTTTTTTCGAGAGAGTTTTCTCCAATCCTTGTTTGATTTAGGCGCGGGATTAGGTATATTGTTGTGGCATGATTGGGTAGTAGGAAGAGGGAGGAGAAACCTTATAGAATTTGCTTATCTCGTTCACGGTAGTACCTATACGCAGTAAACATACAGAATTGTAATATTTTTTTCGTTCCCGACCGAATTATAACACCTAGCCTGTTATCACGACCACGCGGTTTCAAACTATGTCAACCGGTGCAGTGATATTTTTCTTTTCGAATCGTATTTATTTTACGTCCACTCGATGGAAACTAATATTTTATTATAATTTTTACCAATACGATCTCTATTAGCTTAATTTATTATTTTATTTGTCTTCGATTTACAAGCCGAGTGTCTGTCTATAACGTCGCAGTGTAGGATTTCGATTATTGTTCGATAACGATTCCACGCGCCTGACACAAATACCCCATCAATATAATATTATAAAAAACGCGATTGGAAACTAAAAACGGACGATGTCTGGCTGGCACTTGAAAAGATATTATTTATTTATTTAAGGTAGCCAAGCTACATCATATTATATTGAAATATTATAAACGTGCACGAAACTATACAATAATTTATTATAACACGTGAATTATTATAATAAATATTATATTAAATAGTGTTTCGGATTATCGTCGTTGTAGTTTTATTATGCACTGCTGCGTTATAAATTATAAAATCCATAATTCGTTTAGCTTTATAATTAAGTATAATAATAATGGTGCGATAAACTAACAATTTATAATAACTGTTAAACAAACTCGCTCAAACATTAAATACGTAAAATAGGTACCTATTTATTGTGTGTATTATATATTATAGTGTTTGAATGAAATTATTATTTTATTAATTTATTCATGTCCGTACTCTACATTAATACCGCAATAAGAATACAAATAATAATAATCGATATTGTGATTTCTTTCTCATTAATATCACTAGTATAATATTATTATTCAGGACGCTAACAAAATTGTTAAATTTTTTTCTATTCCTCTACGTACGTAAATATTTGATAATTTGTAATAATGATAATAATAATATTCTATAATATATAGTGATTTCTTGACGGATATTCACCCAAACGAAATCATACAATTAAATATATATATATATATATATATATATATATACATATAGATATAGATATTTCATACTACGCGAATATTATATTACATCCAATTGATGAAAAAATAATTAACGAATTTGTTGGTTTTTTTAATATTACATTAAAATCGCCAATATCCCGAGACACATTACATAAAATTAGCGAGTTTTTTTTATGTGAGTACTCGCATACGATTGTAGATACTGTATACATGATTTTACAGTTATTATTCTGCTGTTTCGGTATGACGGTACAAAAGAAAATATTAAGTTGCGCGTATTGATCGTAAATTGTACAGTCGCTAACCTTTGGAATTTTAATGTAAACACAGTTAATACTTTCGAGTTGCCTGTCATTAAAGTTACAGCGATGTTAATGTTTGATTATTTTTTTTTCGAATAACTGTCAAATTTTCGTTTGACAATATTTCAGGAAAACAGCAACTATACTGCTGAACATAATCTTTAAACTATCTTTAAACATTATCAGGTTATCCGTGTGATTAAAGTCTAATTTCGAACCTAAACGCCGCAATTTATACGCTCTATACGCGTAACGAAATTATTTCGCTATAATTTGTTGCCCGTTATAGTTAATAAGAGACCTCTGACTGCAGTATAGATGCGGGTATGGCGTCCTGTTAATCATTTTCAATTGCATAATATTATGTCATAATTATTCGTGTGAAAATTTTAATACGTAACGCGGATAAATCGACAATAAATCGTGTAGCTGTAGTATGTCACCAAAGTACGAAATATCATAATAATTTCAAAAGATTTTCTCAGTAAACTAATATAGGTAACAATATTACACAGATACGTTATTCATTTTAAAAAATGTATCAAACAGAGGTTTATTATAATATACTAATGTGACACATCAAAAGAGTAATTACTATTACTCGCTGTTAATATCGTGTACCTTATTTAAAAACTATAATTATTGTTTATTTGTTTATTCGGTCAAATAATATTGTATAAATATTAAATTACAATAATAATTAAAAACTCTATCACCATATAGAGTTAATTTTTCCTCTATCTACATTTTATATTTCATTAAAAGTAATAACGTATAGTATCTACAAAAAGTCAATACGACAATAAACGATATAAGATACGAAACGTATTGATTAGAAAACACTACAATATATGTTTGTGCTCATTCATAACGGTACGAGGCAATATTCAGACATTTTTTAAAGTCAACTATTTAATAATATCAAATTATATAGTCTACTTGAAAAGTTCTACATAATGAATACGTGGAACCCAAATAATTTCTACGTTTTATCGATATAATATAATAACAAAGTTTACATAATACAATATCGTACACGTCAGACTCGATACAATATAATATACGAACCGTATATAAATAACATTAGGTAGAATACATACCATTGTCAGTTATCAACTAAATCAATACGTATATAGATTGATATGCCGCTCGTTATCTCAATTATTATTTAAATATCTAATCTCCTGTCCGTTATTATTATTATTATTATTATATAGGACGCTCTTCGCTCGAACGTCTTTGCCTATGAGATCGGAGTATGTATCTATATTTATAAAAGAAAAGAAAATGATCTACTATAATAGTATTATTATTTTCTGATGAGTACACAATTGTAAAATAATATGCATATAGATCATAATAGATATGTTACAACACGAGCGTGATGGGATTTTATAATATTAAAACTAGAATTTATATTTAAGTAATTGTGCTCGACGGACTTCAAAAAAAATTTAAAATGTTACCTACAATTTATTACTATTAGCCTAGTCATAACAAAAAATTGATTAGGGGACCGGGGGAGTATTGTAATTATGTCATTACTATTATATATATACGTCAGATACAATATAAATAGATACCCATTTCTTCATGGATTCCTCAAAAATGTTTTTTAGTCGACCTTTATGTCGAAAACTAATTTCAACAATTACAATTGAAACTTTATAACTGATATGAGACTTATTAATCTTATTATATTTTATTTTTACTTATTTTATTTTGTATATTTTATATAATATAATATATCATTTGTGTTCAATCCCAACAAACTTTTTGTATAATTATTTCAAACAAAATAGTTTCCAAATCTACTGCTGCAGTCTCTACTCATATTCCATAACCGATAAATTAAATAAGTATCTTCAGTAATAATCACATGCGTAAGTCGAACCTGCAATTTCACTATGTATTAAGACAGTCCACCACTCTCTATAGTCTATATACATTATACACATTGTCGATTATGATATTTTCGATTTTCGTGATATATCGTTCGATTTGTGATTTCTATAAATTACCTATATTATGTTGATTAAATTGACTGTTATATTATCAAAAAAAAAAAATCAATTATTTGACCCTATACTGCACATGTATTTTCGTCTTTGTGAGCAGCTGCACCTCCAACCATGGTTTACCTTTTTTTAACCTCGTTCTTTTCCTTAGAAATTCGAGGATTTAAAATGTTTTATCACTTATTTTATAATACGAAAAGCCGTGTGATATTATATTCACTGCGAAGTCTTGATGATATGGAATCGATGTTTCGCGTTATACCGACATAGTATAATAATAAAATACATGCCTACCTATACCTATAATCGACAAGCGATTTTATTATATGACGGGTTATCGTTAAAAATCGCTCAACGACCGGTCGGTGGCTACTAGAACTCGATTTATTTTAATGACATTATTATTTTTTTTTTTCTAAATCCTAAACATTAAATCGAGCACAGTATACCTATATATACAATTATATAGCGGTTTGCGGCCGCAGAGATGCCAAAACGATTCGTATATTATCGTACCGTGAATTGCGTCGACGTATTTGAGCGATTTCTCGTATACAACATACCGCCGCCGTAAGCACACGAATATCTACAAATAAAACACGACACTGTGTGGATGCGGTTTCTCGCGGTTTCAAGATCGCGCAAATCGCGTATCTCCTCGTCATCGCATATTTGATTTGCACTCGAAATCGACCGCCATCGCCGTTCTTCGAGTATACGATTTGGCAATCTTATCGCTGACTGCACATATTATTATTACCTATAAACGTATACCACGCGATATGCATGTACATGTACCATAACAAAACGGAAAAAAATTGGTCTAAAAATAACGAAAAGACGCATATAAAGAGATGATGAATCGTAAATATGTAAATAATATACGTGTACGAGTATATTATGTCCTCAAGTAGAAAAACGGCGGAAAAAAACATCCGTGAGCAACAGAGCTCTGTTGTTAGAGTGGAAGATCGCCCCCACATATTCTTGTTAAAGAACTTCACAAAACAATAAATAACCGAATTCTAAACAAAGATAGATATAATAAAACAATTAAATAAATTCAAAAAAAAAAAACTAATAAATTAGATCATAATAATAGTCGAGAAAAGAGTTGAAAGTTAAAACTCCCAAAAGATAATTATATCATTTATACTTAAACCATGCATATACACAATTTCGTTTCCCTGACTTCATTTTTCCGGATCTGAGGTTTACATTATTAAAAAAAAAAAGAATCCACTGTAGTGAAATCAATACATTTTTGTAGTTACTCTCTACAGAATCTAAAAGGTTCGTCGAATATACTCTATAGACGATGTTCATGTCATACTGCAGATATCTAAATATGTTAAATATTTTAGTTGATCATCTATTGTCTTAACATAATATGTGAAAGTAACAACGCCGAAATATTATTTTATCACGGGCATTCCATCTGGTCGCGTATAGAGCGTGCGCGCCGTCGCGTCGCAGTTATATCGATAAAAATCCGTTTCGTTATAAAATATTTTCTGTATACATAAATTCTCCCTGTATAAATGGTTCTTTCCCTTTTTTTTCGTTCGTTCATCGATTTACCACGATAAAACAACACTAGCCTCGCCCCTCTTCGTCGTTCTATAGTATAAAAACCCGCGGGGCCGAACGTGTTTGCACTACAAAGTATACGACGACAACTACTGCAAAGATAGAAATAATAATATTCCCAAAAACGATAATGATTGAGTCTTTTTCTTATTGTTTTAGTCGATTTAGCGCGTTATTTGGCGAAAATTCTTCGAACTTTACGCTGGCATTTTTCACTTTTATAGGACGTAATGGCTCGAATTCGCGTACGCGCGTGTGTACATTAAATTCACGATCCTAAGGCTTAACATATCACAACTATTAAAAGAGAACGGAGTTTAATCGCAAATACAGTCACCATATAATATCCGGTGACATTTAAAGCACGTTTTTCCGACGTTTACATATGAAATATATTGCGTATTTTAGACTGCCCGTTAAAGTTAAACCGAGAACAATATATAATATAGTTTTCTAACTTGAAACGGGTGTATTTATTTATTTTTATTCTGATCGAAGCGAGAAATAAGCATTCGTCGTATTATATATATTAAGACATGTGTTTCTAGTCGAATTTTCCACGAAAATAAAAACTGTTGCACTTTATTATGTCTATTATAATAGATACATAATAATATGTATAAGATGCGTATTAAATATCATTTTCCTGCTATTTTTGGACACTTTAAGAGACGCCCTCTGGAACAAAATAACTAGATCAGAGTTGTTTTATAGACGTATTAAAGTGATAAAAGTTTAGTTACATTTTAATATAAATTCACTATCACATATAAACAATATAAATCACAATATAAATTCACATCATTAAATAAATCCAGGGGAATGAAATTTTATAATTTATGAGTATGACAATATCAGGTACCTTTGGGATGGTTCAACTTTCAACCTCAACCCCTACAATTTGTATGATCTGCAGAATTCATCATTTGTTTGGAAATTGTATAATAATAATTTGAATACAATATAGTATTAAATTATAATAGTATTCGATAGTTCAATGTTTTTTAAAGAATACGGTGTGGCTATTAAACAACGAGACTGATTACGAAAAAGTGTTTTATTATAAAAGTTATTCCCCTTCAATATACTCCCCTCCCCTCTTCATACACCGTTTCATTTGTTTCTTCCATTGCTCGAGGCAGTGCTGGAAGTCTGTTTTCGTAAGACCATTCAGGAGTTCCGCCGATTTTTGTTTCACCTCTTCCATTGACTCAAACCGGATTCCTTTTAAGGCAGACTTTATCTTCGGAAACAAGTAAAAGTCGCAGGGTGCCAAGTCGGGTGAGTAAGATGCGTGTTCGAGTACTGGAGTGCCTTAAGCGGCCAAATAACGCTTCACGCTTTATCCTGGTGCAAGATCCACGACTTGTTTTTCCACAATATCGACCGTTTCTTACGAACTCATTCGTGCAATGTTGCCAAAACTGTCAAATAGTAATGTTGGTTCTCAGTTTGACCCTTTGGAACCCATTCAGTCATCACGATGCCGTTGATATCGAAGAAAACGGTTTTGAATTTGAATTACGACTGAATTGGATTCCGATGCACTTTTGACCTTCAGAAAATAATTTATGCCACTTAAAAACACGCGCCCGAGATATTAAATCTTCACTATAGGCCTCTTTTAACAACTTATAGCACTCAGTTGGAGTTTTTTTTAGTTTAACGAGAAAATTGTACGTTTACCCGTTGCTCATGTTTTTCGTCACACATGGTTTTCGGCACGAGAAAAAAACACGTTCGTTTCAAACCACTACTGCACAAATACTATAATAGTGACGAAAACGTGTTTTGGTACGTGGATAGATAAGATATCTAGATACCCAACGCATTACTCGTTTTTTTCATTACCCATCTAGGGCGAGCAGTCTCGTTATTTAATAGCCACACCTCATATGTCTACAATACAAAATAGACGGGAAAAATGTCGACTTTGTAATATAATGATGAAGCTCTGCTGCATAGCTCATAACTGTTTTTTTTCTCGTGTAAAACACTTTTGTGACTAATAATAAAAATGCTCAGAGTTGGTAGGTAAAATAGGTATGTAACTGAAAAGATGAGAATTTTTCCCTCAGCCGCGGTACTTTATTTGGAAAAATCATTTCGTTAGATTTCCAAATGTTTTTCTATTAAAAAACAATAAAACCATCAAAATCACAAGATGTCTGACGAGACAAGTTTTATTATTACAATCAATTTAAAACAGGCGAAATAATATAATATTAATAGAACGCACCAAAAATGTCGGTTCCGAACCTTTGGCTGTACAATACGACTCGAATGAGCTACTTTACGGGCAATTTATTCCGTTCCCTTCTATCCATGACTATATTATAATATTTTACACGTCATTCTGTCGATGTTTATGCGATTTTCTCCATATATTATATTACACGTCACGTGACACATTAATATTATAATTTCGCCGAGTTTCCATTGTGAACACCTTGTGTCGATGTAAAAAATATTATTATTATTATATTATATTCTTGGTGCTGAAAATTGCTAAAAAAAAATATCTACACATACCTTCGATAAAAAAAATCTCGTAAGTATATGTAAGTGGAGGTACCAAGTACCTGATGCAAGACGTTGATGATTTTTATGAGTTTCTTTAGAATCCGAACATAAAACTGGATATTACAGGTAAATGGATTTTTGATATTTTGATATTTTCAACTAAGAACAACTTTCACGATAAACCTTATTATTGTATTGAAAATTTGCAAAGATAAATGTTTATTATAGTACAACTAAAAAAGAGCAAAAAAAAACCATTTACCGTATCTATAGTGCTTATAAAAATAAGATTGTTTCTCGCTAAATCATACAAAACGAAAAATAAATCAATTTCAACAATACACCAGTTTTTTTTTCTATTATTATTATAAGAAAAGTATGGAGAGTTAAAAAAAAATCACCTCCAAATGTATCAACTATAATAATAGGTATACAGTGTATTTCACTCAAATGGTAAGACGAAATATTTCTGTTCAGTGACCTTGGATTGAAATAGGTTTTTCAAGAGAAGATAGGAAATACTGAAATACACATTTTGCATGGATTTTCAAATTTGTTAACCTTTCAGTGCGCGCATGCGCAATAAAACTTGCATTTTTAGAAACACATATTTTCAACACTTGATTTGGATAAACTATTTTTTTTTTAACGACTTATATAAATAAACTCTTCCCTTATCTCGAAAATTGCCCGAAACTTAGCTAGTTAAAGTTGAAACAAAATTATTTTATTATTATTAAATTTATTTTATTTTGAACAATTTATTACAAAAAATACTCATCAGTCATCATTATCTTATAAATTGTTCAAAATTTTGTCCATTATGTTGTAAACATGTTTCTGAACGTCGTATGATTTCATCTTGAGTTGCTGCCATAATTTGTTTATTTGTTAGTTGTGTGCATACTTCAGTGATTTTTTGTTTTAAATACTGAAGACTAATCGAGACTAATCCAATGATTTTCAAATGTGCTATTTAAGTATTTTCATACAATAATACTGTTGTGCGCGGAGGCACTATCTTGTTCAAAAAATACGTTTTCCTTAATATCTAACGGAACACTATTTAACAATGGTGGTAAATGGTTAGAGAAAATCCAAAATCTCCTTCCATTTAATGAACCATCTGAAAATAGGGGCTTTTATAGAACTTCCTATTAATCTATACCATACATTTGTTGTATGGGTACATATGAACCAATAGCTTGGCCAGCGCGTTCTCCTGATTTGACGAATCTAGATTGTTTTCTTTGGGTACATTGTAGTTAATTTTGAACCACCGATAAATCTCCAGCAAGTTTTATTGCACATGCGTACACTGAAAGGTTAATAAATTTGAAAATCCATGCAAAATGTGTATTTCAGTATTTCCTATCTTCTCTTGAAAAACCTTTTTCAATCCAAGGTCACTGAACAGAAATATTTCGTCTTACCATTTGAGTAAAATACACTGTACAAATTCGAAATACCACGAAAAAGCTCCTTATATAATAACAATAAAATATGTTCTTAGATTGTATCGAGTATTCTACTTCTCTAATCGAAAGGAAACACCAAACAGCAACGAAATTTTTCTTTTTTTTAAATACGTATTTGTTTTTTTCACCAAGGTACGTACCTGCTATATGTATATAAATCTAAATATTTTCAGGTCGGTGCACATAATTTGCAGTTGTTTTTTTAATCGATCGTCGTCGTTTTAACTGTGGACGTATGTATGTATGTATGTATGTATGTGTGTAAGTGTGTGTGTGTGTGTGTGTGTGTGTGTGTGTGTGACGTCAGATGAATTTTTCAACAGAAACCCAGGATATTATTATTACTATCGCCAGTACTAGTGGAAGCTGTTCACATATAATATACATACAAGCATTTTATCATAACCATTAACTGGCACGGTGGTGACGACCGTGGTTAAGCTAGGGAAGGTAAGGTCTTTCTCTCTCTCTCTCTCAATGATTCGCGACATCAATTTATAATAACGCGCCCAGATAATATAAGTGCAGGCGCTTAACATGTGAAAGGTTGAAATTCATTCTCAGGCCCGAAAGAGCACACCAACCTATATAATTATTTTAAATTCCATTAAAAACACCCATTAAATTATGATTATATTATGATAACGCACGCCTCGTAACGATGCCGTCGAGTTGGCGTCACTGCTGTGGGAGTCGGTTCTCTAGATGAGGAAAACAAATTATTTAACATAACCTTAAATGTGATCGTGAGCTTCAGTCGGAACTTAATCGAAAAAAACTTTCGCGATTTATTATGAAAAACCACGTCGTCGGATAGATCACGGGAAAAAAAACAATTTTGTTTCTTTCACAGACTTTTCTGTTATCACGGGGAGAGAATTATCCCTAAGTCCCAGTGCATGACTGATACGAACATTATTATTCAAAATAACTACTTTGAGGTTCAAGATTGTGATGATTAATGATAATGTGATAATGTGTTATCAATTTATTAGTTTATAATAAATGTCTAAAATGCTTTAAAAAAAAATATCCGTGTTTAAAAACTTAGTTATTAGTTAGAGTGTCTGAAAATATCTAAAAAAAAACCGCTACTGTTGTTTTTCTTTTTTGCTACCTACAAAATATACCCGTTTAATATCATCTGGTTATCGAATTATTATATTATTTAAGGCCAGTTAAGAACAAGTCGACAATTGGTCGATAGTAGACTTTTTTCTTTTTTAATAAACTAACAATTGCGAGAGTGTTAAAAATATAATACATCTACACACTATATTATAATAATAATAGTATTATCAACGATGTTCAGTTATATCGTTATTGCGAAAGAGAAGAGAGAAAAAATAACCGTGAAAATGAATGTGTTCGAGAAACGGCGCACATCGAATATCGTATACAATATTATAAATTATAATAAATCACATTTTACCTATACGATTTCTGGGAAATAACGATCGGGAAAGTCGCTTATCGTAAAAATTAAAAAAATAAATCGAAAGCGATCTTGTACGAGTTTTAATATATACACACAAGTGTAATATATTTTATTTATTTATCACTAGAACGGATATTATATTTTATGAGTTTTTCTCAAGCCAATAATAATATCGTATATATAGGTTACTCACTATATACAGCGTAATCATATTTTCAGTTAACACTATAAACATTTTGGCCGAATAAACTTATATTTAAATTCAGTTTTCGGCAGGTGATATGGAATATTAAAATACATATTTCAGGATAAATTCAAAAATTGTAACTGTTGTATTGGTCGCACATGCACAATAAAACTTACATTTTCTCGAAGTTAAAACGACCACCACCCACCAGTATACTTAAAAGTTTCCTCGGTGCCTATATGGACATTTTTAGGGATGAGAGCAAAGCAAAATTGTTCCACAAATTATAGATAGGAATAAGTCAAACACTATTTCTAAGGACTTAAATATGTGTCAGGAAAGAAATGTGCGCTTTTGCCTCCGCCTTACAAGTGGAAGTTAACTTAGGTTATTTTTTAGTTAATTGAAAGTATAATTTTGAAAAATTTGTAAAATTGTTAAATAATTTAAGATAATTTAAATTGATTATAATCATAAATTGTTCATTATTTCGTTATATTTTGATCTATAACTAGACTCTAGATTTTATAAATCTCAAAGTTGCCTAATAATTAATACTATTATATAATTTGTTATATAATACAAATTTAATAGATCATATATAGTTATAATAATCTAACATTTATTCAATCACGTCACTAAGTCGGTACTCCTACCCCCTAATGCAATAATACGTTCTGAAAACCTAATTTAAATACAAGGTTATCCGGCCGAAATAATATGTAGTGTTACCTGGAAAAACCAGATCACTCTATATACTATGCCTATAATACGACGATATTAGAAAAACGAAATCAATTTAATCGGAACCTGCAGCACGGTAGATGATGGCGATAGAGTCGCTACGCAACATTATTACTTTGCGAATCGAGTAAGTTCACCATTTTCATGGAAGATCCGCGCTACATATTTTAAGGGCATAGCGTTTTGTTTTTTTTTTATTTTTGAGTCCCGTCAACCGTTGTGCATCATTCTCGTACCAGTCATTTGTTTTATTAAAATGTTACATTATTTTTACATGTTATTATAACGTTAACAAATAAATATTTGAACGCAAAAATCAAATAAACTTAAATCTTGTTTTGTTTTGTTTTTTTTTTTTTTGCTTCCCTTTTTTTGGAGCCCGTAAAAAATAAAAATATACCTATAATTATACGGTGTTTTGCTTTCGGATATTCTCCTCCACCACTGGGGTACTGTAATTTTAAGACAAATTATTGTAAATAATATAACACAATGCCTATGCAAATGCCTATATACACGATGAAATTATTTTTTTTACTTTGTGATTAAACTTCGATTAGTCTTGTATTAATACATATGTATAGTTCGGGGAGGGTGACGATAAAACCCGTGGATTTCTCAAAAATTATCTCGATTACAATGCATGTTTGTCGGTGCAGATGCAGTATTAGAAACTTCCGGCCGGTGTAATAAATTATTTTAAAACTATATAATATATTAAAAACGAAATTAAAAACGCGGGGAAACAAATTACCGTCGTCATAGTCGTCGCGGAAAAAAAGTTCGCGTATTAAACGATTTTTCTCAAGAAAAAAACGCCGGAGGAGGTGGGAGGAACAAGCTTTTCCTCGAGACGAAATAATGAAAATCTTTTCGCTTTTAATGCTGCAGGCTTCTAATAATATATAATGGTATATTTTAATAAGTTTTTTGTCGTGTGAAATTTCGTTAATATTATTACGATATATAAATACATTATTATTCTGATGTTTTTTTTTTCTATTTTTTAATCATAACTATTATCACGATTATTAACATTATGTAACTGCGCATAAGAGTTAACAACATATCGTTTTAATCGTTTGTACTTAAGATAAACATGTTAGTTTTATATACCGTGTGGCGTTTGAGTAACCGAATGTTTTGTCCATATAAGTACCTTTACCTAAATTATTAAGGACGAAGCACGTTTGGACCAGGAACGTTTGAGTCACTAATAAAACTCTGCGACCCATTTTGACTAGGATTTAGTGAACCCGTTTGGGCCAATAATACATTTAAATTTCTATAAAGGTTCACTAAATAAATGTTCAGTTAAACTATGAAAATTAATATTAGTAAATTATTATTTATAATAATAAATTATTAAGTTTACATACAATTTCTATGTATCAATTTAGTTTTAAAACATACCAAAAATTCAATTATATTAAATATATATTAGATACCTATGTCTATTATCTTTATATAATAGATATCTGTGTATCAAGGTCTTATAACCAATAAGATAACGCAAATAAAATACTACTATATAAAGACTCGCTAAATAAACATTTAGTTAAACTAACATTAGGAAAATTCTGGTTCAAACGGGCCGTATAAAAGTAGTATTGTTTAGCTCAAACGGGTCTTCAAAATTGGTCAAAACGGGTCCTGCCTATTACTATGTACCTTTAATATTCCACCGAAATTCTTCAGTATTTTTCTACTTGTATACATAATGTAATAATTATTAAAACCTACTTTTTTTTTTTACGCTTTGTCAAATTATTAAAGAAATTGTCTTCAAGACGCCGATAAAAAAAAAGGTCGTGATGATGAGTTGCACGCATAATTTCGGTGAAACGGTTTCGGATTCTAATCTTCACTTAATATAATATTACAGCCATCGGGTACCTATATTTCCATGGATTATAAAAAACGAATTGTCATTTTTTTTTAAATATAGTATTTCTTAATCGTATATATTATTTGTTTATTCAGTTATATACCTACTATATAGGTATGTGTGTACAGTTCTCGTCGAACTTCGATCTATCCGGTAACCTCAGTTAGAGTGTGCAGAAAATAAAATTATTATAATAATAAAATCAATGAAATAATTTAAACATTATACAATATGTTACAGTTGTTACGTATTTTTAAAAAGTAATGTATTATTACTTCAAGTTTTCCAAAAAAAAAAAATAATAATAATAATAATAATAAAATAATAGACTAATGCGAATTCTGTTCGACGATTGTATTTGAATGTGTTTAGACCGAGAAAAACTTATGCAATTATCGGGGAAAATCATTCGAACACGGACCCCGACCGTTGTGTGACCGTATCACCGCAGTGCAAAATCTCCGTTTTACTTTTACAAATTAATTCCCTGAACATTTATGACGTGTAAATGAAACTGTCAGAAACAAAAATGTTTGTTTTGAAATTGGTTAAAAAAAAAAAAACAAGGTTTTTAATATTTGGTATAATTGTAAAAAGCTAATGGTCTCGCTGACTTTAACAATGTTATATGTTATATAACAAAAAATAACATAAATTTTAAATTTTAGAGCAGCTTGTTTTTTTAAATATTTTAGAAAACAAATTCTGGAAGAAATTAATACTTTATCTGACTGAAAATTTCAGAAAATAACAGTTTCTCGATATATTATTATAAAAGGGTAAAATTTAATAAAACCACTGTACATAATATAAGACATTAAATATTATCCTAATCTATCATCTTAAACCAAATTTTGTTAAACCAATTACTGACGGTCATGGGTCCACTTGGAATCTAAAAGAAATTTACCTATGTCATCTTAATGATACACAATGTAAATATTACTTGAAAATAACACAAAAATAGATCATTATAACCGGTTTTTTGTGACAAAGAATTACGATCCATAAAGCCAATAATATTATAACGGCAGCTTAAAATTATTGTCGGCAATCCCTTTAGAAAGGAATTAGGACTCTTTATATAGATTTTCAACAGCAGTTTATACAACCCTCCCGTCTTTTCTGTATATATATATATATATATTATGTAGGGATTTATTCCTATCCCCTTTCTCAAAACGTCATGCTTAATTTGAATCAGAATTATATTTGGAAGTATTATATTTAACTGAAAAATTCTTCTGCACCGTGATATTGCATATTTAATATTTTAATATAAAATAAAAATAATAATATTAAAACGGAGAACGTTCCGATTAGACAATATTATTAGGTAGCTTTGTAGATTTTCAGTTTTTAAGACCTCTAAAATAAAAATATTATAACTGAAAATTTCACGAAATACCTACATTAAATAATAATATTTTAATGCAATAATATAATTCCACATTACATGTAATTTAAGTTAAATCAAAATGAAAACATATTTTCAACGTTTACCTACGAGTTGTATAACTTTCTTGTACGTAACTCAACTTACTAGTTATATTTTTACAAGGAACTGTAATAGTAACTTAACGTAATTTGTTTGTAATAACTATTATGACGTATCTGAGTTAGTAAACTAAGATTAGTAACTGTAACTTAACTATTGGTTAGGTAACCGAAATTTAGTACAACTCACTCCATTTTTTTTTATACTATATCGCCCACTGGCCACTACTGACCACCGGTTTTCTCTCTTCCTGCTATCAGTCCATTTATTTTATTTTGGTCCAGAGAGTCCGCAGTATAAGATTTATTTTTACGAGTTCTACATGAAACGCATAGTTTCATAAATTTGTTTATAATTGTAAATATATTTATGCCATGTACTTCACCTACTTAGTAATTTACTATCCAAATTATCTGCCTAGAAATAAATTTACGGTTTTTAATTTCTCCCTCCCATCCTAAAAATAAATTTACTATGGTTACACTACTGAATTCTTACATGGTATATTGAGACTTTACCTTCTGATCTTATATTTCCTTGAAATAAACCAACAATTTGTCTGGTTTTTATTTTTTTTACATTTTTCCCAATTATCATGAAAACCATTTCGAAAATAAAAAAAAAATAATTTTCTTAATCCACTAACTAAGTCCAATGTCTAACAAAAAATGTATTTTGGCATTTTTTGATTGAAGTAAGATTTCTGTTAGAAAAGATGTTTTAAGACAGGAAAAAAAGCACACATTATAGTAAAACCAATATATTCCTCGCTACGCTCAGAATCTAAAAAATAATAATAAAAAAATATTTCGTTTTTAACGGTTTGTCGTTTCATATTATTTCTCTTCCAATGATGAATATTTATTCACAGTGTGTGTATAGAAATAAATGTCGCCGTCACGTCGAAACCGAAACGTTAAGTGCGACGTACGACTGTCAACCGTCACGGATTAACCACAGGACAAGGCTGTTTAATTAGTATTTATTTTATTTTTCCGTTATTCAAATAATATTTTTTTTTTATTCATAAAATCTATAACTATATTTGTTTCTTTTTTTCTAAAGTTCGTGCACATATTATTGTTATTATTATTTTTGTTTCCTCTTGTCCCCGCATTATACATTATAACGCTTCATCATATCCGTTATATGTCTCGTATCGTTATAATATACCCATCCGGATCATCGCGTGCTTGCCGCTATAATTATACACATTTGGAATAATGTTGTTATACGTAAATACACCGGTTTTTTCATGTCTTCCAATATTATACATTTTTTTCATTCACTGCGAGTTATTCTTTTTCGTTATTCGACCGTTTTTCCAGTTCAAACGTAAAATTATAATGCAGTATTGTATAGACATAATATATAATAATAAGGATCTTCTTAAATTCAACAATGTTTATAATCAAAATGATAAAAATATTATAAGTATGTGTACATTCCAAAAATCGATGGTTTGAACATATTGTTCGATATACTGTTCCAAAATTCAATTTTCTATATAAATTTTCATCAAATCCAGTGGCACAATTAGCTTGGGAAACCTTGGGGTGGGAGTCTTGAATCTAACCATAGTATTAAATTAATGCTCTACCTCTAAATTAGGGCAAGAAGGGGGGCTTCAGATGATCCAGGAGAGCTGCTTACGCCCTCTACTTACATGTTTAATTAAATCTAATGTTTTTTGCAACGACTTTCCTGATTAATTTTTTTCAGTTTATGTCCATTTATAAGGACATAAGGAAAATGTTGCCATTTAAATATGTTGGTAACAAACAAACCCGCCGTTTTCAGTCCTATATATTATTTGTAGCTATAAATGCATTTTTTTTATTCTTTACCACATTGTAATACACATAGATTTCTCGTATTTACTCAGTAAAATGTTCGATTCTCGATTTAAAGAATAATTTCGCTAGATATTTTCGATTTCTCCTCCCTCTTTTCTGGAAGGTTGTTTTATGGTATTTTCCACAATTTTCTTTCCCCCTCTCTATCTAGCTGTTGTATTTTTTTCGGTTTTTAACGTTTTGAAAATTCACATCTCTATATATTATAATCATGACGTATTATATAAGTGTTTGAAAAAGTCGGAAAGTACTAAGCCGGACACAATTTTTGCTAGGATATAATAATATTACATATTATATTATATTATTGTTATAAACGCGCGGTCTCAAGTACTACTATTATTAAAATATCACGTTCAGAAGGTCATCGGGTGTTACTCCGTAACTAATAACTGAATATATGTTGTTATACAGTAAGAGTGTTGAATAACGTTATTTTATGAAATGACTAGTTATAGTTTATGAATTGGTTACAAGTTTCGGTTAGAGTTTGACGTAAAAATTATAGTTTGAATAATATATTTACTAAATAGGTACTAAACTTAAAATACGTTATTTCAAGTATTATATTATTATACATACGATTTCAATTCGATTTCCGTTTGAATAAAAGAGTATATACTATATAGGGTGATCAATATTCAATATTGAAATCCTCGATGACACTCATTATCTCAGATTTTTTTTTTTGTTTTGTTGAAGTTGTGTCTTCAACATCATTGGTATAGACAATAACAACAATACTAAACTTATCAACAGAAAGGATTTCAAAGTTATAAGTTTTTAACGTATTCACAATATTGTTTATAATTTTATTTTTTCGTTTAATTAAATTATTGTAATTTAATATTTTGAAAGAATTATTTTTTTAATTTTTATTGGGACATTTAATTAAGTTAAATCTCGTTAGATTCTAATTTTGGAAGTGCATATAATTAATAACTGGCTCACACTGCATAATTGTTCTTTAATGGGTTCCAAATTCAATATTTGTTATGCATTATATTTGATTCCTTTATTTAATAAGTTATTTCCAAATTTTTCGAAGACTATAGAAGTTAAATTAGTGACTCGTGGCTGAAAGGAATGCCAATTATATATTTTGCAAATGTTATATATTTTTTCCTAATATAGAATATTAATTTTATCATGTACTCTAACACCAGTGGTTTTCAATCGTCGTGGCTCCCAGAGGCGTCGTGGTTTATTATCAAGGGAGCCGCGTTTATAGTAAATAAATACAGTAAAGTATTGCAGTAAATTTATTAATTTTAATTTTTATTATTATAATTATTCGTAAGGGGGCCGCGAATTTAGTTTTCAAAATCAGAAGAGCCATGGACCCCAAAAGGTTAAAAACCACTACTCTACACCATTAACCATCACTTTTGAAAATACATTTTTGTTGTACATAATTTTTTAAAAGAAGAAATAAAATTAAAATATTAATATATTTTAAAGTATAAATTGTATATATTTATATTCCAGCGTATATACCTACCCACGAGTTTTATTTATTTTATAAATTACCTTTAGTATCTAATATTTCGTAAACTGACCGATTCGACGCTTTAACTTTTATTTACTATACTATACAGACTGTAACTGTGGGATTGAACAGTTTACCATGCAATATATTTCTGTTTCTAAGGTTTTAAGTCGATTTAGTGCATTATTTTCAATACAAAATAATTAAATTTTGAAAATACGAGTAGATAAACTCGGGAAATTTAGACCACAAAATAAAGGGAAACATATTACGTACTTCAGACAGAATTCATCTTCTCTTTTTCCTTCATTCCAATTATTTGGGGTCGGTCGTATATAAGACAGAATTATGAAGGAAAAATTGACTTAAGCCTTTCTTTTCTGGGACCAAAGATATACACTCTGTATATTAAACTGATAACAAATTCGAGTTGTATTTGAGTCTATTAAACACTGCGGCAGTCGTGTAATACTACTACATTATGTAGTTATATTACGGGGTTCAGATTACAAATTATTATATAGATTTCTCGAGTGCGGTGTACAAAAAATCATAACACGAATAACGATATAATCGTTCGAAACGGTTTAGTATATTATATGGTACTATTATAAATGATGATGTTTGTTAAAAATGAAAAAAAAATAATAATGTAATTACATCGTTTAAACTACTATATATATATTCTATATACGTACGATAAACCATTTAACCATTTTTTTTTTTGCCATACCTAAATAATATATTCGATATCCCTATATTCGATAGTAATAATACTATTGATACCGTTCGTCATCATACCTTTAGACTGTTTACGGGACCGTTTAATGCACGCGTTATTTAAACCGCTTTAATTTAAATGCATTAATTTGTATTGACTGAGACTATCGAGTAAATATATTGTGTAAATATCGATAGTAATATTATCGACACGATTGAATTCCGATACTACATTTCCATCGTCGTGACGTGTGGAATATATTATAATAATTTTATAGAGCAGATACTGCAGCTGATATGGATGTGCCGCTGTTTCAGGTGGGTAGTTTGGAAAGGTAGGATATAATTTAGAGTAATTCGATTTACATTTTTACTCGACAATAAATTGCTGCTAATGTAAGACGATTAAACAGTTCAACGTGATTTTAAATGTCGAGATTTTAACGAAATTCGACTTGACACGAAAAAAAATCGCGTCTAAAGATTTTAGATATTTTTAAAGTACCATAAAAACAACAACTTATAATGAAATTTACACCAAATTTTCAATATTATTTGAGAAGGCAACAAATTGTTATCCGCATAAAACCAAACATACACTATGAAAACTCAAATAGCTAATAATAACTAAAAAATTTACCAAATTATTTTGAAAATTGGAACATTTTTCCAAAGAGATGACAACAAAAAGTCAAAACAAAAGTTGCTGTCCACTTTTTTAATTAACTGCCTATGTTACTTCTTTTCAAATAAAGTTCTTGAGATACGAAATTTAAATTTTTTGCTTAAATTAATTTAAGTACCTATACCTAGGTATACGAAATAATCAAATTGATATAAAATATTAATAATACCAATAATAATTAGACAAAATTCATAAGAACAAATTATTTAACAACATTTTATTTTAGACCAAGAAATAAAAAATTCACATCTCAAGACTTGAATTTATTCTCATGAAATAAATAGTTTAGTTTAAAACAATTTAATAATTCAAATAACGAATTTAAACGAAAGCGTTTTAATATATTATAGCAGGCCTAAGGAAAAATTGAATAATTTATTAGCGGTTTATTGCTTTTTGATATACTGCTGCCGCAGCAGAGATGTTCAAAAAATACATACACTTTTCGTTTAATATTTTATCTAATTAAACATTTTTTATAAATTTATGAAAATTATTTTATCTTTTATTTCATAAAAAAAAAAAAAACAAACACTAGGTATAAGAAAACACTAAGATGATAGGAACATTTATCACAATTTATGTATACTACTTATGATGGCTGATTACGATAATAATTATACATATTATATACATATATATAATTCTAGTCGATAAAAGACTATTGCCCTCCAGGAAATAATAAATAAAAAAAAAAAAGAATCAAATTGCAAATTATAATTTATTTGCTATACGAATAATAGCGACTTTTCGATTGTTGTTTTATTATATTATGTAAGACTACAATAATATATGCATTATGTATTCTCATATTGTGTATTATAAAACCACGTGGTATTGTAAAACGCATTATTTTTCTTTTCAGGTTTTATTTTTTAATTCGTATATAATCCAAAGTAAAAGTTTTTTTCTTTTTGATATCCGACAAAGTTAATTTTTCATAAATTCGACGAGCAGAGTTCAAACTTTACTTTTTCTTTATGCATATATATATATATATATATAATATTTAATATATCGAATCTCGTTATTTTAAAGTGACTAATAAATCCGAGGAATCTAAGAAAAAACTTATATATATATTCATTTTTCTTTTTCTTATATTATACATTCTACTCGAAGCTGCGTTCAACGTGTTTGAATTTCGATTTAATTTTATCGAGAAACTTAATATAATTTATCTTATTTTTTTTCCTAAATTCGATAGTATTTTTGGACTCTCCCGCGGAACGACAATGAATTTATGAAAATAACTTTTTTATTTTTTCTTTTCCCCTTTACGAACAATTTCTTTCGAAAAATTCTCCCGTCTGACGTATATACTGTATACACATTGCACATACTAATGTAATTTTTTTTTGTCTTTTTTTATGCGTATACAAAATAATTTTTATTTTTTCGTTTGATAATTGCTATTTTCTAACATGATTCTTGTACGTGTAGCACGAACTAAATCTGACCTAACTGTACAGTTCTCCGACGCCCAACGTTTCGTTTATCATTCATAAATTGCATACAATTTTATCATCGCCGTCGCGATGAATTAAAAACACATATTATAGACCATACTTCCATATTAATATTACTACGTGTGTTTTAATTTTACTACACCCTGAAGTGTGTTTTTTCAAATTTTTTTTTTTTAATCTTTTTGTTATCAACTTTATGACTGGAAATATATTTTCGGCCACCAACTATCGCCGGTGATGGTTCCTGACTAGTCCTGCCTATTCTAGTTTGTAGACGTGATAAAATAATTTTCAAAATATTCACTATAGCAGGCACGGGAGTTTGGAAGTTAGGGGTTATATCCACATTCATCATTAGCTTAAAAATATACCAAAAACGGCAATTTAGGAGGTAGTATGACTTTAAAGTTATATATATTTCAGCCGAGTTACAAAGAAAAAACTTGTAATTTATTAGAATAAAAAATTGGTTTTTTCGGATCCGACTTTTAAATTCTCATTATTTCTGGGTTCGGTATTAAGGGAGAATCTGCGGTTTATTTACGAATCCGATTATTATTTACTACAGCACTCTCCCGTTTGAAATTCGTGTCCGCATCGCCGGTCATGTATATATGAGAGATTTTTCAGGTCTGGGAAAAATTACGGGATTAACGTCGTTATTCAACGTTATATTACGATAAAATAATAATATACAGTCGTTGGCTACGGCGATTATTGATAAAACCGAAATGCCTAACGATGAACCCTCGCGTCGCTTGAAAAACACATAGAAATGATATTTCACGACCCTCTGTATGTACCACGAGTGCCCGTCACCGGCCGCCGTTGTGCGGCTGTCGTTTGCAGCCAATGATTTTCGAGCCGCGTGAACCAAACGATCCAAGTGTATACAGGACAACAAGCTTCACTAAGGCCCGCGAAAGAACAATGATAATATTATTATTATTATTATTATTATATTGTCCGCTTATAGGTTTTGTATAATTATTATCATTATTGTTTTCACACGACCGGCGGTAGCTTTTTTTTTTCTAGGCTTGTGCCTCGACCGTGAAATAGTCTTGAAAGTGTTGTATGTTTTTTCTAGATAAAAATACATTTTAAGCATAGATAGATAAATGCATGTTTACTAGATAAATGGCAACATGAGTAACCGTCATCCGAGATAAAGAGTTAAACCGTCGAACAGATAAATATCTATTTAAATATAATCAGTAAAATATACGATTTAAATAATTAATACGGATTAAAAATGATTATTGGTAGATTACATCGATTGCATGAAATTTTTATCATTTAGATATTATGTGGCATAATACATATGGTACACTTCTAAATCCTGAACGTATCTTAGGTATATTTTAATTTTAATACGATGTGATCTTTTTTTTTTTTATACTACCAGAAATATTTTTCTAAATGAAAAAAAAATTGAAAAAAAACAGTTTCGTTACATTTTAGATCTAGTTAAAGCATTGTGGAAGTTATTTTTTGATTTTCTAAATGGGTTTCATATTAATTGAAAAATTCAAAAAAAAATACATACAGATAAAAAGGAAAAATATTTAATCATTTTTTTGTTTGTTTTTTTTCTACCAGAAATCTTGTACCAAAATTCAAGTGCAGCATCTTTTTTCCAAAAGGAAATCGTGCCACTTTGGTAATTATGGTAAGTAATGTCGTAAGTTTTTGATTTTCTGTAAAGTTTCGAGAAATAATCGAGACAAATCTTAGGAAAAACTACCAGAAAAACACCTTGAAACCTTATTTTTAAACCCTTACAATAATTAAATTTTTTTTCAACTTCCAATCCACTCGTATTACAAATAATTAGTAGTCAGAACCCCTCCCTCTCTATAAGTAATCTTTATCTACGTTTCTGGATTTAATACACAGAAAAATATTAATAAATTTTTTAAATATTTATCAAAAGAAATTGACTATTTATAAACCCTTAAAACAATATTTTATAAACAAGGGCACCTATTTTTTTTGGAGAGACTATTACTACTCATCTAAGTCATCCAACCTCCTTGTGGGTATCTTATGGATAATGCTAACGCCAAACAAGAGAACTTGATATTTGTTTGATTGTTTGAGACTCAATTCAATTATATACTAGCACTTAGCTTGTTATAATACACTGTTTTTTTTTTCCTTATATTATTCGTATACAGTAAAAATAATTACACGACTACGTCTTCTCTAGTCACGGAGTCTTCTATTCAGTGGTTTTTTTTCTGCTGCAGTAGACATTATTGCCAGTAGGTATATCCTATCAGCTTTTTATTATTGCCCTTGGATGACGACGACACTCGGGGGACGAAAATCCCGTTATTTTTCGAACAATTTTAAAAATGCCGAAACGGTTCGTTACCGTTGGCTGGCAACATTACAACTCGCTGTATTTTTAAATCGTTGAAAAAAATCCTCATCGTCATGATAACACTCTCTCAATCTCTCTTTCCCTCTCTCTCACTCGCTCTCTTTCTGTGATCTGTATCCCTTATATAATAATATACTAGCATAGTACAAAACTCCCGCATTTAATAATTCCCAAAAAATATTAGTGAAATTTTGCCGCTTGATTTCTTAGGTAAGTACATACCAATAGTTACAATGGCATACATTTTAACTTCAATATTCTGGTACAGCAATCAAATTTATAACACTTTAGACCGAATTCATTAAACAAAGATTCACTTATCAACTAACGTCCGATTTTAAACGTCTATACTAAATACTGTTGATAAAAATCGAAATATTTTACATAAATAACAACTGCACTGGATTAAAATCGTCGTCAGAAAAATGTTCAGGAATGTTTTCTGTTCTAGTATTTTAAACCATGGGAATAATACGTGAAAGAAATGAAATATTTTTTGTCAAATACCTATGGCCGTTTTATTGACATATATATATCCCATTTATTTATCATTATACCGAAAAAATAATCGAAAAAAATAAATTGTAAAATGACATTCCGTTAGGTTTTAAAAATGGATTAGCGAATACGAAAGGAAATGTGAAACTAAAATTCATATCGTGTTGAGGGATCGATTTCCTATAAAAACGTATCACGAATTATTTTATACTTAAACGGATATCCCACGAACAACAATGTACGAGTGAAAACAAATGTTACGAATTAACTAATGAACAAATATTTGTAGATATCGACTAGTTGGCTACGATCAAGAAAGTTTACAATAGCCACAAATTCGTTTACCATTCGAGTTACCATTCACAAATTGATATTAGACCATTTCGGTAGGGTTACAAACTCCATAGTATCCGGTAGTAACAATGATACCTATTTAAAACTTGTTCTATTTGATTAATTATAACTGATGACTTACTCCCTCTTTTAACCTATCAAAAAGGTTTGAATACATTTTGTACTTGGTTGTATATAAAATAAAAATTAAATTGATTGTTCAATAATATCAGAATCGTGCAAAGAGATAACACTCTGGTAGTCAAATGGATTTAAATCATGAACTAAGATAATCTAAAATGATTTAGATAAGGAGAATTAATAATTCTAGAGAGAATGTCGAAAAGTCACCACTCGTCACTGTCTATCCGAGATAGTTACAAAATATTGTGACTGATTTGTAACCAGTGTGATCAGTGAAATGAAACGAATTTTAACTTCTATCAATTTTAATAGAAAAAACTACCGGTTACTACCAACAAATTTATGGTAGGCGAGTTTTGGCAATGAGGTTTTCGGTGAACGGTTTTGTCTGCATTGTTTGCAGTTGTTTATTACTTGGTCACGATATCGTGAAAACGTTTTGTTTACCGTACACTATTTTACCAATAGATAAGGAGTAACCAAAAACAGTAGACGTTATTTTTAATAATTGTTTGCCGATTCCGGTAACTCGGTTCTCAAAGTTCTCATTTCAGTCATTCAGTTATCGAACAAATTGAATTAAACCAAAAAAGTTTGTGCGCTAAACTTTAGGTTGGTAGCAGGTTGTTCAAAACCACATCGCGTAACACGCCTAATAATATTACTAACTATAGTAAACCTATTGTAGTTGTTCACTCAAATATTATCGTTCGTGTTTTTTGCGTTCGCTCTTTAGACACGAAACCACTCGAAACGTCTGTCTTATTTACTTCGGTATTTATTTTTCTCTTTATCACATCAAAGACATTCGTTGCATCGTTTCAACCATTACTATACAAACTCATGAATGACAGTACCAATATAAGTACACGTGCAAGTCACATTTGTTGCCCGATTTTCGCGTTTGATATTTTCGTAAATTATTCGTGAGCAGCGGCGGTGAAGTAACTATTTCGGGTCGATCCGCAAAACGATACCCCCGTGTCGTCGTGTACAGGGGATATAGGTAAGTATTGTATTCGATTTTGTTTTTACTAATCGTTTATAACTTTTTCAATTTGATTGTCGTATGGCACACAAGCTGAACCGTGTGTCGGTTTTACTTTTTTTTAAAATTTGAAAAAAAAAAATAACCAAAAAAAATTAAGCGACGTCGATAACGACGACGGCAGCAGTGGTGCAATAAGTTCGCCTGACCGATGGCTCACCTGCGCCCCGACCGACGGCGCGGCAGTGATGGGGAAGCAGCCGGTGCAGAAAGGCGGCGAAACGGTCGGTGGAGAAGGATGGACAGTAGAAGGGCGGTAGTGGGCGGCGGCGACGGAGGTGATGGCGGCGGCGGCGGTGGTGGCGGCGGCGGCGGCGGCGGCGGTGGTGATTTGGCGGATGCGGAGGCGAGGGGTTGGTGGCCGGAGGGTCGACGACGCCGCGCACGCCACGGCGTATACGTAACACAAACGGATTTCGGAAAACAAAACAAAAAGTCGTGGAAAACCGGCTTACGACTTTTGGGGCAGTGACGATAGGACGGGGGGTGGAGGAGAACGGCATGATAGGCGACGGATTCCGAATCGGAATTACAGGGTCGCGAAGGGAGGCGATCTTGATCTTGAAGTTCGTCAATACGACAACACCAACCGACGCGGTATCAGTCACAATGTTTGTAATCACCAACTACATTATACTTGTTTTAACAATATAGGTATATTTTATAATTGTTATAGTTTATTTACATATTATAGGTGTTGTGCACTTACCCCGGATCGTTGGGCACCTCGGCGGCCGCGGTCGCTGCGTCTTGGCTCTGCGATTCCATCGCTCCTCTAGCGGATTTCTTTATTATCGTAGCGGATTATCGAAAACGCGAAGACGCGACGGGCAAGTCAACGTGTGTGTGGGTGTACGAGAATGTGTGTGTGTGTCGTTACGGCGTGTCGTTTCACGCCTAACTGCTAGGTATTGTGCGACACACGTCCGGACGTATTCGACGAGGTAAAACGATAAACGACAGTATCGACCCGGCGGGATGAAACGCGGTGGTTTTTAAGTGCGGTGTATGCGTGCGTGTGTGTGTGTGTGTGTGTTGTTTGTTACGGTGTCGAACGGAGCAACCGGCAACTTTCAATATACACGGTATACGTAAACACGGTATGTGCGGTTCACGCGGTACTATAGGTTCACGTGCGTTCGTTATCGAACGAAAGCGGCGGCGCGGTGCTGCTGCTGCGGACGGCGAAGACGCGACGGCGGAAGGGATCGCGGTGACCGCGTGGATATCACACTGCGCGGTTGTTGTACGCAGGCGAAACGATGGTAATTATAATGTTGTCAAGAGATAGTGTCCTTTTTAAACTTTCCCGCGGTCGACGGATTGGCAATATACGGATAGGAGACACGCGTACTCGGCCGGCGCAGCTCGAGGATCGTCGGGAGAGACGCGAGGGGGGGAGGGGGTGCACGGACACGAGAGATCTCGGATATTATCGAATATCGGACGGCGAAAAACGCACACACAAACACACTATGTATATAGATATATAGATATCGTAATAATTACAATAAACACAACAATTAGTATAATACAATAATGATATTAAGAATGCAGAAATTTCACGTGGATCCGGCGTCGGCGGCTGTGCGTGCGGTGTATAGGCAGTCAACCCGGGCAGCGGCTTCGGCGTCTACGACGGCGGCGGCGGTAGCTGCGTTGACGTTGAGACGCGGCGTAAAAACGCGACACCGGCTAGTTGATTTTCGGATGTAAACAACGTTGGAAATTCGACGACACAGCGGCGGCGTACGACAATAATATGACCGTTATTGTTATGATTGCGATTCGGTGTGAATTTATTAAATAAATTTGTGTTCCTGCAAACTACGACTAACCACTACTGGTGGGAGGTGTGCTTTTTTGGCGCACACGGTATACTCCCGAGCGTTCGCGCTAAACGGATATGTTCGACTGAACGGTGCGGCGAGTGACTGGGACCGCCGCCGCCGCCGCCGTCGCCGCCGCCGCCGGTTGCCGCGCGCTATGCCCGCAGGGCGAGGAGGAGCGGAACGGCGGTAGCGTCGACGGGTGAGAGAGAGGGACACCCGCCGCCGGTGCCCGAGTCCGCGCGCCCGCCTGTGTGCGCGTGTGACGGCCGGGCGGTGTGCGCGCGCGCGACGACGGCGGATGCGTTCGCACAGGAAACACACGGGCAAGCGCGTGCGCCCGATTCGCCGCCGCGCCGCCGCTGCCGCCACCGCCGCGTCCTTAATGAGTATGCAACCAAAACGGCACCACCACATCGATATTATTATATAGCACATGCAACCCTATCTGTCCACCGAGTCCGCCGGCACGCTGTAGGGCGCGCGCAAACTCAGGTATCCTGATTTGGGCCTCGAGTTTGTTCTCATAACTTCAAATTTGACCGGTATAGAGCCCCTCCACTCTCACCAAAAGGTTCCGTGATTTTTACCGTTTCATATACTGCTGTCGCACGTCGTCGGTTACTTAACAATGATGTATATTATGAAGAATTTCAGTTGTCATTTACAATCGGTTAAACCATTTTCCAGCAGCATGGGAGTGACGAGAAAATTGATTATTTCATTTTTAATATTTTTATTGCTCAGCAGTGAGTAACGGAGTTGGTCTACCTATAGTACAAAATGTTGAACAGTAGACAGGAATAAACATAAAACAGAAGACAAGTGGAGCAGAGAGAATGAGAATGATCTTGAACGGACTCACTTACAGTTTGGCAGAAATAGTATACTACCTAAGGTTGTTTCAATATTTGATAATAAAAATAAGAACTAATATAATCTGTAGACCAAGGTGGTTCAAACAAAAACGTTGAATCAGAGGCCACAGCATATAAGAGCGGTTTTTAAAATAAATGTGGAAAGAAAGGAAGGTAGATACACCGAAATGGTGAGTGTCGGATATACAATCATTTGGAGTGATGGTTATAATAATAATAATACGAGCACTCCTGTAAGGGTGTGCAAATATGATGTGGGAGACCGTGTCAGGTGGAGATTTATTTAGGACCAAGGCACGGGTAGACCCTAAATATTTGGGGAAAGAAGCATAGGAGAAGAAGTGGAATTATTATTAGACGGTTCTCATACACAATAAGGGTAACATAAGTCCTGATCAATAACACATAGTCGGCAAGTTTTCGACGAATTTTTGAATAACGTGAGTGAAACTGCAGCAATACTATACAGTTATTTCGAAATTCCAATAATTCATAAATACTTTATTCTGAGTGGAATGAAAAAAATTATGGTTTTCCAGAAATGTTTATTTTTGTGTTTTTTATGTGTGCACAATATTTCTACCAGAAGACTTGCTTAGATTTCTAAGTAGATCACCTTTTCTGAAATAAAATCGGCATGGGGAGGTACTTTAAAGAGGTCATTTTTCGATTTTCTCAAAAGTTTTCCCAGCAAATGTGAAAAACCGAGATAAAACATGGGAAAACCGGGAAAAACGTAGGAAAACCGGAGAAAATCAGTATAAAATTAAACAAATATTATTATATAAAATATATTAAGCCTATTTAATTATTTTACTATAATAAAACATATATATATTATTGAAAAAGCATTACTATCAACTAAACTATGCTCAGCATCGTTTTTTATCGTTGCTTACAGGTATACATTTAACTATCTATAACAGTGGTTGCACTCGTCCCCATTATCCTAGGACGTATTTATATTATTTTTTTTTTTTTATTTGTAAAATACGTTATAATCCGTTTGTTAATATTATTCGTTTGATTGACATTAATATAAGATGCAGAGAATAATTATTAGGAATGCAGAATTTGTCACGACTGTTTTCAAGATATTATATTTTTACAAAATAAAAATTTTTTTAAAATGATAATAGTATTTATAAAAAAAAATCAACCTAATTAATAAATATTAAAATGATAATGTTTTAAAATCAAATTTTCAGAATTTTCTTATGGTTTTCGAACATTTTTAAGAAAACAATTTAAAGAAAAGCTGATCCTGAGAACGGGTGTGTCACTGTTGGTGTGAAGTCAGGAAGGTAGAATGTTATTTAGATAGTTATTTAGTTTATACCTGTAAACAACGAAAAATACTACTTACGTTATATTCAATTTTTTTTTTTTTTTTTTTAATTATTAGGTAAGAATTATAATGAATCTTCTGTCAAAGTAAACGTTTTTATATACTCTAACAATTTTATCCATAAAGTACCTACCAAAAAAACATTTCTTTGAAAAACTCACAAAATCAAAATATCTATAAAAAGCTCAAAAATGTCTTTAATGTTTTGAAAATTTTACCACATCTTTTAAAGCAAATAAAAGTTTTCTGTCAAAATGTCAAGATTACATGTATATTTTAAACTGAATTATAAATTATTATATTTTTATCAAAAGAAAACTCATAAAATGACATAAAATGCATGTAATTTCATTTGTTATCCATTTTTTGTCATTTTCCGGTTTTCCTAATTATTATGGAAACCCCTAGAAAAATTCCAAATGACCTTGTCGATGCACCAACTAGATAAAATTTCTTTTCAAAAAATATACTATACTTGATACATCAGAGCAAGATTTTTGGTAGAGAAGTGGTTTACAGGCAAAAAAAAATACACAGAAGTAAAACACACATCATAGAAAACCAATAGATCCCTCACTACACTCCGAATTTAAAAAAAAAAAAGCTTCTGATAGGTGTGGTATTGTAGTAGTCAGAAAGTTGTGAAGTTACGATACATACAAAATGCTAATACGAGTATAAGTATTTCGTAAACATTTCAGGTCTCTACGAGTTTTTTTTTACTGAATTACAACAAAAAAAAAACAAAATCGAAAATAATGAAACCATTATTTGCTGTAATCAATCCCGTTTCTATTGTTTTTCTCGATTTCTCCATTATTAAGAAAAATACACGAAAAAAAATAATAAAATTCTTCCACTTCAACTAAACAAAACTTTTCTTAGATAATACTTTTGAAATATGGAGCCAATTTCTTATCGAAAAATAAAAATTGAAACAATCATAAATAATAAAATTGAACTGTCGTAAATTTGTCCATTTTCCCTATTAGTTTTTAGCCCTCACCAAACATAGAGTGATAAATTGTGTAACATCTAGATAATGATAAGAGCAAATTACTAGTTACTGGGATGAAATGATTAATGCTCAACAATAAAATAAATATAAATATTTTAAAATGAGATAAAAGTACATATTTGTTTAGGTACAAGTCCGTCATTTCTGTTTAATCAAATAAAATAACTGACAATTATTTTCCATAATCCAAAGAAAATATCTGATATTCTTTTGTGAAATTATTAGTCACTTACCTACTTGGAATAATTTTATATATTTTATTTTATATAGCCTTTTCCCAAAATGGATTTCATACTATTTTGAAAACGTATTACTTATAACAAAATAGTGTTTAAAACTTTAGTATGATACAGACTAAACCGTTTTAACTCGAAAAATATTGGAACAACGAATGTGTTTTCCAAATTTTAGCACAATCAGGTAACGAGAAACCCAAATTTGAATGGTTTAATTTGATTAGTAAAGTCGTGGTCAATAAATTAGATTTCTACTAAGATATATCCACAATTAAACATGTCAAACATAGTATTATGAATTTAAAATAAATTAAATACGAGTATTTTTTATTAAAACAGGTTTAATACTATTATAGAATCTCCTTATCGGTTCACCGAGCGCGCTACAAACTAAATAATTACTCTATACCTATCCTATTCCAATTTTCCACCTACAAAACAATGACCTATCCATGAAACCAATGTCTTGCTTTTTATATTTCTTTTTTTTTAATTTTTTTTTTTTTTCATAATAATATAATAACATAATATTAATGTGGCATCTATGAAGGTATATAATTATATTAAATCGTAATCTTATAAAATAGATAAGTATCAGAAAAAAAAAACCCGCTATTCCTATCGGATTTTATAATTATTATTAATTTTGTTAAACTTTTCATACATTTTACCCTAACAACACTTTCAGTGGTGGAATCATTAATTTCAGCCATTTTAAACTGCCGTGCAGTCATTGTTCGCGCTGACATTCATTTATGATAATAATGTATATATTATAATAATATGAACAGAATTACCCCATGCAGAAAATTCATACATCATAACGTCTTCGGCGGCCATTTTTTTTTCTTTTTTCTCACCCCTGCAATGAAAAATGATAGATATTTGATATTTCTATAATTTATGCACTTTATTATTATTTTAATCGTACGAAAACTATAATAATGTAATATATTCGTTTTGTACGAATATAATACAACATTTTTTTCCTCGTCTTTAATACATCGCCATCATTCAAAACTTTGTTTGATGTATACAATACAATTCAAATAAATAATAATCTCGATCTACTAAATAATTTGGAAACGAAGAATTATTGCTATATACGTACGTATACGTCGTAATTCAACAACACTCATCGGTAAAATATAGAAAAGAGGTTTTCATTCTTATGAAGGTACCGAACATTTATCAGAGATTCCAAATTTTTACAAGACATTTTGACAGAAGGCTCGGATGATGACGGGATTTATGAGGGTTAAGTGCACTTTTATAGAGCATTTGACATTCCCCTCTACTCTTCTGCTTCTCGAAGCGTCCGAAAAATACTTTATATTCAAACAATCAAACTCTATAAACTTGTAAACTAGTTCAATTCTGTAGTAGCTATAGGAAAAAAGAAATAAAATTGAAATCGCAAATAACACACACACTTGCTAAATAGAGAAATGTAAAAACCTTTTTTTTTGTTTTTTGTGAGTTAAAAGCTTTGGTTGTTAAACGAAAAATAAATATTGTGTAAAATAAATTTCATAAAACAATTCGAGAAAAGAAATAAAATTGAAATCGCAAATAACACACACGCTTGCTAAATAGAGAAATGTAAAAACCTTTTT